AATAAAAAAGAAGCACGTTAATCAGTTTTAAACAAATAAGGAACCCATTGTTCTTCTTCAGAATCTTCCCTTGTCTGTGGTACCTATACTTTTTTGTAAAGTGACAAGTACCAAAATAAAATATTCTGTATCACAGTCAATTTCTCCAATTTCTTACTCTAGTTCCAACGCCTATCCCGAATCCAATTCATCATCAGTCACCATCTTATTCATATTCCTATGGAGCCACCACGCGAGTATACCATTCTAAATAAAAAAAGCTTGGAATTATCGAAGTAAATTGTAAATACATTCAAAAAAATAACGGCCTGGCATATAACCTCCTCCTCCTTTGAAAGTCAGATAAGAGTTAAAAGGATATCAAAAATCAGTTTTTCGAGAAACTTATGAGTCTAGCGCCACTTGGGCCAAAAATCATTGTTCCAAAAATTACTATTCTACAACGTTTATACGAAATATTCTTCAATCAGATCATCGATCAAAAAAGTACAAATACACAATTTCATGCAAAAGTTCTCTTAAAACTGTCAACAATTGTGTTTACGTAATTGTTCTAATTGAAATAAATATATGAAATGTAAATTGAACCTTAAACGCAATGTTTAAGTTATTTTCACAAAAAAATAAAATAAATTAAAAGCGCGCTCAACTGTTCAAATGAGCGCTCATTCGGTGAAGACATTTTTTGTCGCTGATAGTTTATCTAGTACTCTTTTGGTCGATGAATCAGATGAACTCAAGTTCACTTCAGTTATAATGGAGTTGCTTAAATGCCCATAATACTTGAAATATTAACGAGGACACCAAACTGTACATAACGAATTAGAATTTCCTTGATATTTTGTATGTTGAAGTCAAACCTCATTTGTGGACTGGGCCATTGTTATCATTTGAGCTCAATAAATAAGTAATATTACAATATAAAAACTTTTTAATAAAAAAATAAAAACCGACTATTAGTAGTTTTCGTGTTTTTTGATTGTTAGTCGGTGTACTTTTTGTACCGGCTGGCACCGATTTCGAAAATATTTGATCAAGTATCTATAGAAAATGTAAACTACCAATCACGTATTTTTTACTTTTTAGTGGTTTTTTTAAAGTAAAAAATAAAAACATTTTTTTATTAAAAACTTTTTATTTTTCCCTTTTTAGTGTAGATATACTTAGTAGTAGCAAAGTAAGAAGAAAGTATTTTAATAAAATATTCGCTTACACCGTTTAAATTAGTTTGATGCCAATTTTTATATGAAGACTGACAAACTAAAATTCGCTTTTATTAGTAACACTGAAAAATCTGGCTCTAAAATCCAATTCTGACGTATTGGGCTTGTCAAATCAAACAAAATAAGCCCAAACTCAAAGTTTCTACTATTAGCCGTTGAAGAGTTCAACCTATCCAACTTCTGGCCTTACCATGAGATCAGGTTGACGTTACCGAACCACTGCAATATCAATGAGAATAGAAACACTTACAAAGTTTCAAGTCAATAGGACAATTAGAATTAGGTTAAATTCATCATTATTTATTTTTCCACCCAGGAATGGTATTTTTTTTCTAATTTAAATGGGACCAAATTGGAAGTATACACTTTCAAACAAAACAAAAATTGTCCAAATCGCTTAATAAATGACGGAGTTTTGAGGTAACAAACATAAAAAAACATAGGTACAGCCGAATTGAGAACCTCCTCCTTCTTGAAGAAGTCGGTTGAAAATATCTTATAATATTAAGACGGGCTTAATATTATACTTAAAATATAATTCAAGATGGGCTTAATATTATACTTAAAATATGATGAATATACGAGTATGTAGTGTGATTGACTAAATATTTTGAGATGTCGAAATAAAAGCTCTTAACTTTTCATCGTATAGATCCGTAATAATGAAAGTTTGTATGTATGTATGTATGTATGTTTGTTACTCTTTCACGCCCGAACGGCTGAACGGATCTGGATAAAAATTGGCACAGAGATAGATTATAGTCTGGAATAACACATAGGCTATTTTTAATCACGGAAAAATGTACGGTTCCTGTGGTTGTTTTTGTTTTACCTAGAGGTGAATCCGAGCGAAGCGAGAGTGAGCCGCTAGTATTTTATATTTTAGTAATCGATGTTATCATATATAACGCACATCGATTCATTTTGCATACATTGGATACCTACTATACGTACTGACCTCCGATTACGTCATACAGGAATTTTAAACTATTTTGGCCCTAAGTAATTGCATTCTAATTTTTAAATAAAAGCTGCTTTATTATTTGTTTAAGCGATAATTACTTAGTTTATATTAAGACTAGCATTAATACCAAGTTTCAAGTAATTATGATCATAAATATATTTTTGGGTTGTATTATAACGTGTTTTCCCGTGGGAATTAGATAATCTCCCGCGATAAAAAGTAGCTTATGTCATTCTCCAGCCATCCAACTATCTCCACGCAAAAAATCACGCCAATCCGTCTCCCCGTTTTGACGTAAAAGAAGGACAAACAAACAAACAAATTAATACACTTTCACATTTATAACCTTGAAGTATAGATAAGTAAGTTAAAAAAAGTTAAATGTTTTTTTTAACAAATATACAATAGACATAATTATTCGGCTTTTCTGTCGACAAAAAAGATCAATAACTTACGTTAAAGACACGGTAATGTTATGCATACATTATCGTGTTAAAGAGGTGGCGATGGTCTTTAATACAAACTTGAAACACGTTTAGGTATATCACGTCGTGTTTTCCTCATCGGGACTGCCCCCATCCGATGGCTAAACATACTGTACAAAACATTCGCACGGAAATAAATCCGCGCCGCATCGCGTTCAATTTGCATCAAATCACAGATTTTTTTTCCGCGTGAATTTTTAATCGCCAGTGCGGAAACTTCTATAAAGATTCAAAATATATTACAGAATTAAATAAATACAGAATTGCGAGAATAAAAACGTGCGGTGAAATATCGCAGTGCGGACAGGGCGTTAAGTTATATAATGCCAGTTAGTTACCTTTGCTCACCTGAGTTGTCACCTGAGTGGGCGTTGCCTTTGCTTTTGTTTACTCTTTAGTAATTATTTAAATATACTTGCTCATTGAAAAAATAAATACCTATTTCGTAAATTAACAATAGGGAATATGTATGTGACTTAAATAAAGTGAAATATTTTTTCTTTATTGCTTTTGAATGAAACTTATATCAGTATTTTTTAAATGTGATTTATTAAGAAAATAATTATTAAAAAATGCTAATATAGATGGCAAATTCAAAGTAAATAGTTGAAACGGCCTGCGTTTTCGTGAGACTGAATATGACGTCAAACTATTATCATAACATAGTGATTATTAGCGATTTTATCGCTACAAACTATTATTGTCATTTCTCTATGTAGGTATAGTTCGGCCAAAATATACATGTAACCTTGCTTAAATTCCCAAGAAGCTAAAAATGTATATGAACGTTAGGGATACCATTATAATGAAATTGTGAAAAGTCCCCATCGATCTTATGTGAGCAAAAAATTTTAGACAAGGTCAAAGTTCGCGAAAATGGATTCATTGGATTTTTTAGCGAGATGGTTAGTTTAATGATAAAAATAGCTCTAACAAAAATTATAGATCATGCAATCATCTACAAAAATTGTCCTTACATCTTCCCCCCTAAAATTCACTATTTCTGAGAAAAATCGATTCTAAAATACACTAAAGTTGTATTCTTCATAATATGCAACAGTACACGTTTTCACGCCACCTGTGAGGTAGTGTACTTGGCGAGTTTTTTATTTATACTATAATAAAGCAGTAACTTGGCGAAATATGTACATGAAATATTTTTTAAAAACAATGGCTGTAACATATTATGTACACTATATAGGCCCCAAAATAGTAGTTGTAAAATTTTTGTGTTTGTCTGTTTGTGTGTGCGCGTTTCACGTCAACAGTAATGATCAAGTCAACTTTTAGGATACCTTTTACTTCAGGAAAATCTTTCTTTCCCACGGGAAAACACAATAACTGGTTAATTTAAATCTAGTCGTCCTTAGAAAACTTCCCTTGTAAAATACTCAGTATTTTTATCATAAAATTAACTGTTTATAAGTAGGGATGCACTATGAATCTATGATGTATACCTATAGACTACAGGTATAAGTAAAGTATATTGGGGGCCCCACTAAAAAAGCAAAAAGTGTAAACAACATGGTTCCAAGTGCCATGTTTTCGAGATATTTAAAAGTAAATATATGGACTATGACAATCATTAGAAATTAATAAATTACCTACCTTAATTGTATTAAATAATAAGTTTCCAGGGTTTTTAATTATTTTATTCGAAGATAGTGCCTTTTATAAGCATCAAATATCTAACTTGTTATATTGCGATGCGGTTTAAAAAAATACTTAAATCAAAGTTATTTTGTCAAATCAACGATATTTTTATTTATTCTCATCGATCTAATTTATCGTTATGTATTTATTTCCAAATATCTACGACTTACGAGTCTTGACAGTTTGAGATATCATATTGCTGATATTTTCTGCTTGTTTGTTGTGTGAAACGTTGAAAAAAAAAAAACGAAGGCAGTGGGCCTTGCCTCGAAGTCCTATCCCCATTCTGTAATGTAATAAATCATTAGCGAAAAAATTACCTACTGATCTTTGATCATTTTAACGCGGGATATTACTTTGGAAGATACCAAATTCAGTGTCCGGCTGAAACCAACTTTATTATGTGCATTTCAAAGCTTTTTATTAAACGCATGTGAAATTCTATACTGGTGCTTTTAAGAAAAACACAAATTTTGAAACATTTGTCTATCTGTATGGTTGTTCCGGTTAATTTTCGAAATTGCTGGACTGATTTTGACTGCACTTTCACTGTCAGATAGCTGATGTTATAAGGAGTAACTTAGGCTACTTTTATTTTTAAAAAACAATTAGGGTTCTGCTCCAAAAGTTAAAACGTCTCTAGTATTAGGATAAATTAATCGTTTTTTTTTGCAGAACTATGCCCTAGGTATAGAACCTATAGGCTCCGAATTAAATCTCCTGGACAACTTCAACCGAGGAGTACCGTTAAAGTATCAAGTGAGTTTTCCCTCTACATCCCCTATACCGAAGCTGGTTGAACTTACAATCAACAACAACGTCTTTTGTCGTGGAGCAGGAGGTAAAAAACTTATTAAGAATATACTACCTATGCATATATTATGTTATACTAGTATCTGTGAGTCGCTTACTCCGTCATTGTGATTTCTTTTTTTTTCAACATTTTTAGGCAACGCCATCTATTGATATGATAATTTTCTGTTTTTAAAGTTTTTAAATAACATATAAGTTGATCTATTGAGGAAAAGCAATATACGTTCGAAAATTTGTTCGCCATAATTTATTATTAATTTTTTCTCCAAGATATGTTTATGACGTACATACCAGAGGTATTATTAGAAGAAAAACAAGAACTTGTAATATTTATATATAACTCTAATATACTAACATAGTATATATCTAATAACTCATATCCCTTCTATATTTATTCGGCTCTATGAGCTTAGATAAGATGATATTATTCTATAATCTCTTACCAGTAGAAATCAACAAAAATGGGAAACACATAGGTATTATGTAGGATTCCATGACGTAACGATTTAATTTGTGGTTTCAATTTATGTATATTTTTAAATTTATATTCTTCGTCCATTATACAATTAAGCATCGTGTCTAAGAACAGAGTATAGAAAAGGGAATAAGGAAGTAAAACATATTATGTGTCTACTTTTAGTTTGTAGTAACGTTAGATAGGTACTAGTTTATAGGTAAATTAAAAGTATATACATAAGTTATAGTTTTTAGACGCAACATAAATATAATTCGAAATTTAATTCTTTTTTTACAGATAGCATAAGCAGATTTAATACAGTGACGACAATAAATTTACAACACACGCTCTATTATAAAGTACAACCCAATGGATTTTCCAACGTTATTCAACCGCGGCCTCAATCCCCAGCATTACCTGCACACGATATTTTAGACGATTATAATGCATATTTAATTAAGGACGGATCTGTTTATAATATTGTTAAAGATAAACCGACTTGGCAAGATAATAGAGGTTAGTATATGAGATTAATATTATGGCGATTAAGCCTTTTTAATTAATATTGCTATACCGAAACTCGAGGAAGCTTTGATAGCCTTGAGATATTCTCAGAAAAGGTTCTAGTAAATTCAATCATCAACATAACTTACTTTTTATCACCAAAGGAAACTTGACATAGTTATTATAGAACTGTATCCTAAACTCGGTACCTACCTCAAAGTGCTCAAACCTTATTTAGTTTTTTATCACATTACGTATGTGATACGATATGATATATATATATATATATATATATATATATATATATATTTATTGATGATATTTCTATATTTAGATGATACAGACATCATACCGGAAAATATACCCTACGTACCTATAATCTCCAACGAGCAACCTAATTGGCAAGGAAATAAAGGTAAGAGAAAAAAACTGATAACACCAAGTAAATCTAGTTAATAAAAATATGTTAAAGGTACCACTAATATGTGTCAAACAAAGTACGAATGTGGGATGAGCGAAGTTACTCATCTCAACTAATGTTCTTAACTAACTTAAAACTTTGTGGTTTATGGAAAGGTACAAGACGTAGTGAGCGTAAATCTTGAGATATATTTTTTTAATTAATCAATAATTTAAATAATTAATGACCACATAACTTACATAAGTACCTTGAAGCTTTAATTCCTTTAACCTTAATAGAAAGAAAATATGAATTTAAAGTGAAATAAGACAGCCAATATGTTTGTGTTTAGATATTATCAATGTGTTATAATTGTTTTTTTTTTTGGTTTCGGTAAATGTTAGTTAAGTTAATATTTAAAAAGAATATAAAAACTCAGCGAATATTACTTTAGTACTTTTTATATCTAATCAAAAGAACGTCAATATCACGAGAAACGCCTTGTGTCATATAAAATAAAAAAATTAACTGCCTACGCAAATTTTATGTTTTTGATTTCCACAGTTTATCCAGTTCCGTCAACCGAATATCCTGTTACGGTGCCCAGACGGAAAGTAAATGTCCCGGAAACGACTACCCAAATTGCAACAAAACCGCCTAAACCAAAGTAAGTACATACTACATACATCATAATATTTTAACACTACTTGCCCGCGCGAGAGCTTTTTTTTCACAATTTCATGACTTTTAATATTTTTGCCCGGTACCCTGATTCTTTTTCTAAAATAAAAGTAAACTAAGTTACTTCCTAATTCCTATAACATCAGCTATCTGTCAGTGAAAGTCCCGTTAAAATCGGTCCAGCCGTTTCGGAGATTAACCGCAACAACCATACAGACAGACACAAAAAAATTATAAATATTATTTTTCTTATTAATACCGTTAAATAATTTCATATGCATTTAGTAAAAAGCTATTATTTTGACATCACAAACAAATACTTTATTTTTTTTATCTGTATGTATAGAATAAATATTAATTTAATAGGCCGGCACCTAGACCTATACAAAGCGGCTCATCAAACTCAATAGAATGTGGAATCAATAGCAGCAATGAGCCTGTGGCTTTGGTATACAAAGGGTACTCATATGAGAGAGGAGAATGGCCGTGGCTGGTCGCACTCTATAAGTCCCAGTTTAGCAGTTTGTCATATATCTGTGCTGGGACTCTAATATCTGATCGACATGTCGTATCTGGTAAGATTTATTATTTAGCAATTATACCTGCGGTTTGGCATATGATAAAAACTTAAAAAAAAAACGACTTCTAGGCACTAAAATGTAAAAAATAACTAAACAGGGGGTTTCATATAGAATAAATACCCAATCATATATTTTCGAAGTCGGTGCCAGCCGACAATATTTTAAGATATGAATATCTAATAGGTAAATATGATTTGGTATGAACTCTAATATATATTATATAAAACCTCGAATCCTACCTGTCTCACTCAATACCGTCCTATATCTATCTTTCCTACCCAAACTCATAGAATCATTGGCTCATAACCAACTTTACTCCTATTTGTCTCACCATAACCTACTATGCCCTTACCAGTTCGGTTTCCGTTCTTCTCACAGCACGGTGGGAGCTCTGCTGAATATCACAGAGGATATTCGTGGTGCAATGGATTACACCATGCTCACTGCGATGGTCTTGCTTAATTTTTCCAGTGCTTTCAACTCTGTTGACCTTGATAACCTCTACCTTGATAACTCTTCGTGCGGTCAACCTTTCTCCTATTCTGGTTTCACTCTTATCTCTTCGGACGTCAGCAGTGCGTGAAAATCATCGATACATTATCGGATTGGTTAGATCTTACTGCTGGTATACCTCAAGGCGGCGTACTTTCCCTTTTGCTGTTTTCCATCTTCATTAATAAGTAATAACATATCAAAAGTTATTTCTTCGCCCTGCATATGAATATGCAGATGATTTACAGATATACCGACACTTTGAGCTGACTGAGTTGCATGAGGCTATTGGTGCATTAAACTCTGACCTTGCTGAAGTCCAATTATGGGCTGGGTATTTCGGATTTCATGTGAATCCCAGCAAATCACAATGCATAATATTTGGCAGTAGTAGACTGAGGTGCAAAATCGACTGGACTTCAATACCTCAAGTCCAGTTTTCTGGTGTTCCAATCCCTTATTGTGAGTGAAAAACCTTGGCCTAATAATGGATTGTAACATGATCTGGGTAGCTCTCATGAGCTACCCAGATCATGTTACAATCCATTATTATCCATTAAGAGTGATGCGTTCGTTTGCCGACCTCGTTGATGACAACGACGAGCGCATCACTCTGTCCACTCTTCTATACATTTCGACTTCGAAAATATGATTAGGTGTCTATTCTAAATGAAAACCCCTGTTTAGTTATTTTTTACATTTTAGTGCCTGGAAATCGGGTTTTCTTTTTAAGTTTTTATTTTTCCATTTTTAGCGTAGGCGTAGTAAACAGGTAATTTGTAAAAAAAGTTTTTTTAATTACATTCTATTAAAAAATAATTTATTTGTTGATTTTTTTAAAAACCGCTCGACCGATTATGATAAAATTTAAATGGGACCACCATGACCTTGGGAAGTATAGCCTTCGAAACAAAAATAAATCCAAATCGGTTCAGGCGTCTTCGAGTAATCGGTGAACCTACATAAAAAAAGAAAGATTCCGTTTTTTGTGTTGCGCTATCACAGTGACATAAATTCAGTAATAAGCAAACAACTTCCGAAGATTCGCAAATTTTCACAGAATTTAAGTTAATTGGTGGCATTCATTTCATAGATCAGCAGAGATATTTATTAGAGTCTTCCTATCCCCAAGACCCATACATAGGTAAAACCCCGAATTCGCAAGATTGATTGAGACATTGAGAGGTAACATATTTTAAAAAGGTGAATCTTGATGATATTAGTAAGAAAATTATCCAGTTTCTATACTAAAAAAACAATAAGTAATATGTTTCTTACATTTACTCATGTCAATTTTTAACTGTTTTCAGCTGCACATTGTATTCGAAGAAAAACGGAATTGAAATTAAGCAATATAGTAATTAAAGCAGGAGTGTACAATCTCGACGACTGGACTGATATATCAGTCAGTAAAGTCCTTGGGGCTGCCATACACGAAGGATACAATACTTCAACACTTGAAAGTAAGGTGGATATATTACAGGAGTCCTTTAATAAAATTATAATTGTTTCATACTTGAAAAAGAAAAAAACGAAACCCCACTAGAGTATCTGTCTGTCTGTCTTACCCTTACAAGAACTGTCGGTCTAATGGAGGAAAAAGTTGAAAAATATACGAATGAATTTTAATCCTGAAGATTGATAAGGATGTCAAATTAAAAAAGAAGGTTTCCTTAGGCTTCATAGGAGGAATATAAATATATTTTTGTAATTTTAAATTGCATTGGTCATTAGATATTGAAGAAAGTGTATGCAAACTTTGATTTGATCCTAAAAGTTTTGTATAAGTATACAAACATATATCATACTTACCCAATCTTTAATTCATTTTATCTTTAAAGTTAATAAAAGATCTGCGGCCATTTGCTCATATTTGAAGGCTTTAAATAATTGTTAATTTAACATGACATAAATTTTTAGATGACATCCTCGTGTTGACCCTCGATAGAACTGTTCCTTTTGGAGAATTCATAAGACCAGCTTGCCTCTGGAGTGGGGATACTGACCTTAGTCGAATTGTCGGTACTTCAGGAGTTGTAAGTACATACTACTGTTACTCAAGTTTACCTTATTTAGTAAATATTACTTAATTTTTTTAAATTTCAATACTCTGTACAGGATGTCCCTAAAACAAACGCAAGAAGTTACATTTATATCAAAACACAGTATTTTAGTTAAAAATTGTCGTTACTTTACTGATCAAGAGAGTAGGAGAATATTGTCATGTTACATGAAATTTTTATATGCAATTTTAGCTAGCTTGCATCCCCATACAAACTTTCATCCCCATTCTCACCCCCTTAAGGGATGATTTCTGGGATAAGAACTATTGCACTCACTCAATTTTTATATCATGAGATTTTAAAAAGAAACTTATTTTAGTAAACATTTTATTATTTTTTTATTCAAAACTTCCTGACAATAACAAACACGAAAAAGAATTATCCAATTTGGTGCAGTCAATCCGAAGTTATGCGCGTACATACATTTTGGCGATTCATTTTTATTTATATATATAGAAGATAGATAGATAGTTATGATGTAAAAATATTTAAGTTTCGTTATTCTTTTAGGTGGCTGGTTGGGGAGCTAGTGAGTTTGGTACAGGGGGAATGGGGGAACCACTCATGGTGAGAATGCCTATCGTCAGTACAACTACATGTAGAGCCAGTAAAGCAGAATTCCATAGAATAACCTCATCAAACACGTTATGTGCAGGTCAGTACTTAGTTATAAATAATAATAAAAAAACAAATAATAGAGTTAATGAGTTTTGTATTGAACAAATAATTAATATGCTTAATCCTGACCGACATCGGCCACGGTGGCCAATATCACAGCCTATTCAACTTCACAGGAGATGTCATATAGTTCACACTGCACAAGTTTACACAACGTGTACTCTCTATTCTTTTGACTCTGTTCCTGAGAATTTCTTGACGCAAAAAGCCCAATAGGTGTACTTGGCCTAATCCGGGGCTCGAACCCAGGATCTCTGGATCTACAATCGTAAATACTAGATACTAGACCAACGATGCATTAGTAAAGTGTAGCGTTTTTTCGACATATTATGTATGTTTGACGACACGTTTGGCTCAGTTTGTAGTGACCCTACTTGCTGTGCCAGTGGTTGCGGCTTCGAGTCCCGCTGGGGGTATTCATTTGTGTGATGAGCACGAATGTTTGTACTCTAGTCATGGGTGTTTATATTTATAATATGTATGAATTAAAAGTTATATGTGTGTAGTGTATCAACTATCTGGTATCCATAACACATGCCTCGTAGCTTACCATGGAACTAGATGGTGCTGTGAGTTAATGTCCCGATTTATTTATTTATGTGCCAATTGTAATTTTTAACAGATACCCAATAATTGATGCTTTTGTTCGTTTAGGTGACCGTAACGGTTCTGGTCCATGTTTGGGGGACTCAGGTGGAGGACTCTACATTTTGGACAATGGCAGGTGGAGACTACGGGGGGTGGTTTCTAAGTCTCTTCCGTCAGATGACCCCGAATACTCTTGTAATCTTAATGAATATATAGTGTTTACTGACACCGCACAATATTTGCCATGGATTAAAGACATAATGAGTAAAACTGCTTTATAATACATTATATTATAGATCTAATAAGATGTATTTCATTTATTAAAGTACATTTTGCCGGTAATATATGATTGTGCATATTTTAAAAAGAGATTTTTATTACTAATTACATCATCTTGTATCAGAGAACTCGGAGAGAGAAGGTTTATTTATGTAGTGTAAATCTAAATTTATGATAGTGCAACAAGAGTGGTAAATCAAAATATAGCTATTTATAATGGTTCGAAAATTATTTAAATTTTAAGACAAAACAGTCAGATTTTTGACTAAACTGTATAAGTTCAGCTGAAATTTTAAGTATAAGTAAGATATATGATTGTATTTTTTTAAGTAGCCCAATAATTTAGTTACTTATCATTTTAATGGCTTCTGTCATAATCTTCTGTAAATCAACATAAAAACATTACGCACAAATTTAGTAATTAAAGTGTATTCATTATTTTTTTTAATGTTTAAAAAAAATTTACTTGTATTTTTTTTGAAACCCTGCAAAGATTAATTTTAAAAACATATTTTAAATAGGCCAGGTGCCAAAATAAAATCAGTAGTAGATATTTAGATACTAAAAATTTAGAGGTACTTTTATAGTAAAATTTAAAATAAACATTTAGTAAAACTTCGAACCAATGGTCTACAGATCTACTCTTATGAAAAAAAATGCTCTTAGCTGTGCTGTTTAGTTTCTCCTTATTTATTAACGGTGAATAAATTTATTTTATTAAGTATCTCTGTCTTGTGTTAACTGTAAATATTGCAATAAATGTACTTATAAAAATCTATTTTTTTTATTCTCCTTACACAATTATAATTACATAATACTAGCGACTCACCCTCGCTTCGCTTGGGTTCGTCCCTAGGTTGGTTTCCCATACAAACTTTCACCCCCATTTTCACCCCCTTATGGGATGATTTCCGGGATAAAAAGTATCCTATAGCTCTTGTGAGCTAAATCGTTATGTTTAATAACAATGGGAAAAAGTACTTTATGGTTTTTAATATAAGGTTGATTTTACAATAAATATTATAAAATGATAATTTGAAGATTTGTGACTTTAGGTGCTATGATGTTGATTAGGTTGAAAATAAAACTACTATAAGACTTTGCCTTGGTTCGTTAGTATACTGCTTTCATTAAATTTACGATTCAAAAGTACTTGTAATAAGTCTAATTGAATAAAGTTTATTTCATTTCATTTCACAGATGTAGCTATATAAGTACATATTCGCGCGGACAAAATATAGCTTTGATTTTGTATGTAACACGTTATCTAGTAGTATTGTAGAGCGAAGGCTTCTGTGATTTAAATTATTTTGTCACTGTAAAAATAGTAATAATTAGTTGTATATACTAGTAAATACAATACTTTTATACCTACTTTTAACATCTTTCGCATCGGTCTAGTCCGAAGAATTCCATTAGACTGGTTAATGGGAGAATAATCTGGGAGCCTGGAGCTTCCTAGTAGTTGCGGCGAAATTCTTAAAGCCCGAAGATTGAATTGGAAACAATATGTAGATGGATCACCGTATTGGGTTCCGAGTTCCAACTCAATCTGTAGTTTTAACGTTTAGGGGTCAGATGCTACCAAATAAGGTATTCACGTTTTTTTTTCTCTCAGTGTTGAAACTTATAACATACCAACTATTATGTGCTTGAACAGTTGCCGATTTAGTGATACTAAAAATATATGTCCGTAGAAACCACGGTGCTCGAAATGTACCCAATACCACCCAGGAGAATCCTGTTGTGTTATTAAAGAAGCCGCTCCTTGTATACATTGCTGTGGCAACCGTTTTGCGGATGATTTGTCCTAAGCCGCCGAGATAAAGAATAATTAAATCCGCCATGTCACAAAGAAATTATTACACAGGTAAGATGTGAACACAATAGAAGCAAAAACCAGGTACAAATGAGATATCATAATAAATTGCATAATCTCAGACTGAAAGTAAATAGGTCATACCTGTAGCGCCCTCCTTTCAAAAAATCTTCCCCATTTCACGTAAAGATGATTTTCAAAATTACCGCTCAGCTCATTCCATTCGTGTCTTCCTCACAATATGTGACACTGGCAGAATGTATTGCGTCTGTGAACACAACTTTGAGCCATTAAAGAAAAAAAAGTAGGTAACGTCAACTTTCAACTTGTCAGTTGTCATTTGTCAAAACAATAGCTATTCAAAAATGTATTTTCCCGCCTAAGAAAATGGTACCTATTAGGCACTAGGCAAACGCATAAATATAGTATTAAACTACAAATATTAATCCTGCTTTCGTTTTTATAAATCCTATCAATTTTTTGAAATGACTTGGAATAAATTAAAATGCAGTGATCGTGAACTTCAACTACTTGGAACCCTAAATGGAGGGCAAAGCTTTAGGTAAATTTTATTTTACAAAGAAGAAAAACATTTTATTGGTAAATCAGAAAAAAGTTCTGTATGTTTTTATAAATAATATGTTTTATTTGAAATTTATAGATGGGAATTTAATAAAAACAATAACGAATGGACTGGAATTTTTTCAAAAACTTTATGGAAATTGAGACGAACAGACGATGATAATTTAGAATATAGAGTGCTTGGTTCGTTATTAAATAAAAATACCCAAGAATATAATTATAAAAAAATATTAGAAAAATATTTTCGATTGGATTTGAATTTAAATGATAACTATAAAATCTGGTCTCAAAAAGATGAACTATTTAAAACAGCTTGTAAACAATTTTATGGTATAAGAATGTTGGCCCAAGAACCAGTGGAAAATTTATTTTCGTTTATATGTAGTCAGAACAATAATATCTCTAGGTAAACATTTTTATGTTAAATAATAAATATTATTGCTTTTATGAAGTTCTATAAAATACGAAACAAGATTTTATGTTTTTAGAATCTCAAGCATGGTTGAGAAATTGTGTAAACATTATGGAGAAGAAATATGTGAACATGAAGATGTAATATATTATGCCTTTCCAGAAGTTAAGAATTTGGCAAAACCACAGGTAATAAAAAACAATGAGATTTTCTTTGTTTTACATGCCTAGATATAAATCTTGTAATGCAAAAAGATTAATGATTGAAACCTATATATAAACAGGCAAAGGCAAAACAATTCGGTACCTTATTCTCTTTTTTTATTTAGTAGGTAGTGATGAGCTTTAGTGTTATCAATAAAAAAAATAATGGTTGAATTTCAATCATTGGGTGAACAATAATATGTACCATGGTAACATTTAATTTGTTCAGTTCAGGTTTAAATATTCAATTAATAGCTTCTTTAAGATTTTATAGACTAGTTCAAATCTTTTATGCTATCTTGTTGGAATAGTAACTACATCTTGCACAACAATATGAGATATTTTATTATAATTTTTCTTACATGGTATTAGGTGTAATTTTATTGTATACTGCAGGTTGAATCGGAATTGCGGCAGTTAGGATTTGGTTATAGAGCAAAGTTCATTCAGAAGTCAGCAGCCCAGATTTTAGAATGGGGTGGAGAAGAATGGTTCAAAACTTTACAGAATATGAAGTATAAAGATGCTAAGCAAGAATTGATGAAATTGTGTGGTATTGGACCAAAGGTATATTTTCTATACATATAAATAAAATTGAAGTGTCTGTTTGTAATGTCAAAACAACAGCTTTTTAATATATGCATATGGAAGTATAATATACTTTACTAATAGAAAAAAACTCTTTGTCTGTCTGTTTGTTCCGGCTAAACTCTGAAACAGCTGGACCGATTTAAACAAGACTTTCACTGCCAGATAGCTGATGTTATAAGGAGTAACTTAGGCTTCTTTTATTTTAGAAAAAAAATCGGGCAAAACTTGCAAAAAGAATAACAACCCATGTAACTGTATTAAATCTGCATACCTTTGGATGCACCCGAGCGAAGTGAGGGTAAGTCGCTCGTAAACTTAGAAAACACAAAACTATTATTGTTATTGTTTTCTTGTGAGAGACAGATTTTCGCCGGGGATTTACTTTTGTGTGGATCCATACAATTACAATATTCTTTAAATTATACATATATATATTTTTGTTGAAGTTTTTAAAATGTGATAAAAACCAATAATTTCAGGTAGCTGATTGTATTTGTCTAATGTCCTTAAATCATCTCGAGGCTCTCCCAGTGGATACACATGTGTACCAGATAGCTGCTCAGAACTACCTACCACATTTGAGGGGCAAAAAGAATGTTACCGACAAAATGTATACAGAGATAGGTGACCATTTTAGGAACTTGTATGGTGATATGGCTGGATGGGCTCACACTGTAAGTTTTTTAAAATGTATAATATTATTTAGTACTTTATACATAATCTGAATGTTTTTTATTAATCTACCGTCGCTTTACATTGGTCTTAATACATTTCAAACAAAAAAAATATATTATGCTCAATTTTGTTAAGTTTGTTGTTTTTGTTAAGTTTGCTTCCAAAAAAGAGGAGGTTCTCAATTCGTCGGAATCTTTGTTTCTTTTATGTATACCGATTACTTGAAGGCGCCTCAACCAATTTGGATTTTTTTTTTTTGTTTCGAAGGGTTATTATATACTTCCCAGGTGGTCTCATTTAAATTTTATCAAAATTGGTTGAGCGGTTTTTTTTAAAAAATCAACAAATAAATTATTTTTTTAAATAAATTGCTTAATCGAATATGTTATTAAAAAACTTTCTTCTCACAAATTACCTGCTTCTTCTTACAAAAAACCGACTTCCAGGCATTAAAATTATTAAAAATGCTGTATTCTCGACTTTCCCGTTTAGTCCTTTGCCCTGATATTAATTCAATGTTTAAACCATATATTACATATATTTATTCCTATTTCAGGTTTTATTTTGTGCAGACCTAAAGAAATTCCAACAAAATGATAACACAGAAGTCAATGCTGTTAACCCTAAAAAAAGGAGGAAAAAATGATATCACTGGTATTTTTAAATAAAATATACAATTCTACTTAAATATTCGATTTTATTTATAATAATATAAAAATACAAAAAATATTACTTATAACTGAGAACAACACAACCTGGAATGGTCTATACATAGATCTTTTGCAAAGAGTTCAAATGGTTATCACAAAGCTAAGAATTAAATATTGCACTACTACTACTACACTCTATATTGAGCTTATTTTAACCATAAATAATTAATATAATAATCTTAGATACTATAACATATGTGATAAGGTTTTTCTTCAACTCAAAAATACCGCCATTCAAAATTAATCGACAAATGGTAATCCCATTAGGGTTCCTGCAAACTGCAGACTGTGTCGGACATTAGTATAGATCAGTAAAGTTCGTAAACAGCTTAATACAAAATAATATAAAAAAATGTATAAAATGCCTCCTCTCCTGCATTTCATCTACAGATACATTTAAAATTACTCCCATATAAAAAAAAATACAAAAATAGGCCAGACCTTTTGGAAGTCTGTTAAATAATATCGAGTTGACCAACACTAAGCAAGGTACAAGTGTGTGGTATGAAAAAACGCCATAAAGATTCAACGGTAAATAGTTTTCCTACATTCATTCATCAGTCAAGGCAAATCTGTATCGGCTAATACAGCTTCGTTATAACATAACATACCCATGCATTTTCGAAACGATTAGTGACATCAAACTATAGGCCGACAAATGCAATTTGCCGAAGTCTTTAAAATTATTAGTATCAATAGAGTTCTGCTATGTTTTATAAATTAAAGAATAATAATAAATTTAAGAATAAAAAATTAATTTAAAAATAAATACTTTGCTCGGTAGCCAAAGTGAATACACAATAAATTTTAATCAGTCATGAATATATTATAATCTACATAACTATAGTAAAATCAGATTATTATATGATCTTAAATTATTTAGAAAATATGAGATTTTACTTACAATGAATCCTTAATTCTCAGTTCTGATATAAAGAATTGTTTTACTACCTAGTAGCATGCGATTTTCTTAATGTTTACCTATTTATCTAAGTTTTTAATACACATAAACTGTATTATTTACACATAAAAACTAACAAAAAACTAGTAAAAATTTGGGTAGCATTCATCATATTATTATTTTTTGCATACATTTGAAATATTAGAGATTCCTTATATTTTAACCCAATTGCGCGACGAAAGGAGAGTAGTGTGTTTATTAAATATATTCTCTAAAAAGTATACTTAACTTTTTCGCAACACACCAGTCGTTCAGTTACTAGGATAAAATAAATCATCATCATTGTTATCACTTATTCCTTTATCGATTTTGTAAAAAATAAATTAGTTATGTACAATGAAAATAAGTAATACAAATATTAAAATTTGTCTAATAGCCAACATAAATTGACAGTACTAGTCAGTCTTGACACCTCCAGGTAAATTTCTAAGAAATCTATTGTTAACTGACACGCCGGCGTGTCCGCGGTCGTGGAGGGATTAAGACTTATGTAAATTTTAAGTTATTATTTATTGATTGCCATAATAAATCTGTGGGCAAAATTCAATAAGTACTTGAAGTGCGCGGATTTCGAACGCTAAATCTGTTATGGCGGGCGGCGTCGCCACCAGAGTTGGCGCGAAAACAGTGCTGAGGTTATGAGCTGACATTTTGTTTTCATCAGCTCGCTGAGATACCCTACGAGTTAGATAATTGATTATAATAACAGACAATTTAAACAAAAAATAATTAGAAAATAAATTTGTCTTGTAAATAATAAGGATTTTTAAGATGATTACAATTTCCAGCTAAATAATATTTTAGGAGCGTGCGTGTTTGCTAAAAGGTGGCGTTGATCGTTTACCAAAAAATGAATACACACGTCATATTATATTATATGTATGTATAAAGAAAAGTCGATGCATTTGTATTTAGTGGCAAAAGCCATCGAGCGAAGCGAGGTAAATTACTTAGTAGTAGGCAACTAATATATTCATCTTTTGGAATTTGAAATGATCAGCGCCACCTTTTGACATTGCTGCTGCAATTTTCGCGTGCCTTTTAGCAAAATTAAATAATAAACACACACATGCACACACACGCTCACACTTATAGCCTTATAATAGTAGCGTGATATGAAACTATCAAATTCAACAGGGACTCACCTGTGTAAATGTTGCACCATGTACTGTAAGCAGTTGAAGTGAGCCGGAGGCAGCGAGTCGAGACACTCACGCAACATGGACACTTGAAGAGCTGTTGTTTTTGTCTCTGTTCATCAGAAGTAATAAATTATATTTTTATATTTTATTATTAAAAGATTCAATCTCGACGGAAGAATGGGAATACTATAAACTATTATCGTAATATAATACTAATATCTTATATCGTATGTCGTAATATAATACTATAAACTGTTATCGTATAAACTATTATCGTATAGAGTGTGTGATTTAATTAAAAGTGAAAATCACGCATATTACCTATCGTCGCCTCGCATTGTTACTATTAAAAAGTACCCTATTGTCATTAGTCTACATCCTCCACTATTTTTTAATTACCTCCTAAAACCAAACAGACAGGCAAACGTTCTTATAAAAGTATTTGGGCTTTCGTACTGTGCCAATAACCATATACATAGGTTCAATATGTGGTAAGCTTTTTATAAATAAAAAATATAGTAAAAACAAGTAAAAATATCTGACGGTTTTATTGACTGAATTGATTTCACACATACAGACGATGATCCACTATCCACTAATATTATAAATATTAGTTTGTTTGTTTGTCCTTCTTTTACGTTAAAACAGAGTGACGGATTGGCGTGATTTTTTGTGTGGAGATAAATGGAAGGCTGGAGAATTACATAGGCTACTTTTTACCTCGGGATTTTATCTCATTCCCACGGGATAACCGAGCGAAGCAAGGGTGAGTCGCTAGTGTAGTATATTTCGAAATTGTTATGAGAATCGAAATTTCTTGTCATGCGTTGATGGCTTATTTACTCCAAATAAAGTAAAATACCAGTTACTTACGAATAGCATTGACTAATTTTGGGTGAACTTCAAAAGTTATTAGCGGGACAGGTAATAGCCGCAGATACAATTTCAATGTTCCCGCTATCACATTGATGTTGCTATACACACTTAAGTCTGTCGCTTCACCATCTAAAAAAAATATTTCATAAAGAAAATTTTTTCATAAAGAAAAAGTAGTAATAGTCACTATATTAGTGTCTCTATGCCATTGACTATTTCAAAGCTGGCAATAATAAAGTGAATTTCTTAATTGATAAAAATACCTTTATCAAAAGCCATCTTCAATGCTTCAATCTCATCAGCGAACCCGGAAACCCTGTAGATGCCTTCAGAATCCATCCCTCTCGCTTCTATTTCATTTACACATTTCCTTACAACAAATGGTAGAGTGCTTGAATGTGCATTCAACAATGTTGTTAAATCTATACCAAATACTCCTCTTAACTTTTTCAAATCTGGCAAGCAATGGTTTGGTACATTTTCAGAACACTTTGAATGTGCTATGAATCCACAATCTGCAAGAATATATAGAAGTGTATAAATAATAATTAAATTGCTAAATGCTACCCTAAAATTCTATAGTTAGTATATAATTATAACTATACCATATTGTTTTTGAATGTAACTTAGATAAGTTCACATGAATTCAGCCCTACGAGGGGGATCACGCCTTAGTCCACCATGTTGGCCAAATGTGGGCTGGAGGACTTCTCATATCCTTCGAAAACTAGCTAGGCTCTCTCTGACATGCAGGTTTCCTCACAATGTTTTTTTTTCACGTTTTTTGATGATTATAATGATTATGTTATTGAGATTTGATTCATGTTGTACATAAGATAAATAAATTAATAAATTATTAATTACCTTCACATTTAACACCTTGTGCCGTAAAACCCCATAAGAAGTTAGCACATAATTCACACCAATTCAATCCCTTGAAAGTATGCACTTTGAAGCTATGTGGTTTTAAATATTTATATAGAAGAGGGCTATCTTCTATTGCGGGTGTGAGATCAAAGTTCACTTTACCTAAGTCTGATGCTATTTCTAGTATTTTACCTTCACTTATATTAATAGGACTTGCTCGATTTGATTCCCTGAAGAAATGATAATGTTGTTAGGTCCAATGATTGATTTGAATAGATATTAACATAGTGAGAGTTTTTAATGCATGATGTTTATCAATGAAAGGAAATGTAAGTATTATATTTAGGTTAAAATTAGGTAAGTTTCAACTCAATGACTTCCCATGGATAATGATATCAATAGTAATCTTTGCTGCTGAAGTGTTGTGATAAAGAATATGAACAATTATTATTAAAAGAATAACAATTATTATTTTTTATAACGATATATGGAAAAGATACTCACTGACAAATGGCAGAATTAAATATACTTACTGGTAATTTTTTGTGAGTGTATTTAACTTCCTCCTGTTAAGTGTAACATATGGGCTCTCTGTATAATTTGTTCGAGAATTTATCATTTCCAGTATGTGATGTGCTTTAAGTTCCATGTGGCATGTGATGAGACCATCTGCTACTAGGTCATAAATGCTGTCATACCTTTTGTCTTTAATGTAGTGAGTGCCATCATAATATAATTTATAATGATGTATTTTATTGTTAAATCTGAAAAAATGATTTACAAGTTAAATTTATTTTTTACAAAGCAAATCTGTTTTCTAATTATATTTATTGTACATATGATACTCTAGATGTCTTATTTTTAAAACAGCAGATTAAGTCAGATTCTATTAGATGAGGAAGCAAGGAGGCTTACATTCCACATCATGTTGGATGTTTAGGGTCATCTTTACAATCATGATTTGACAATCTAGATGTTTTTACAGCTAATATCTTCAATATTTCAGTACTTTTTATAGACATTCTATGCATATTTTCAATTGATAAAAGGAATTGGTAAAATGATGAGGTAGGTTGTTTGTAACCATTTTTATGATTCATAATTTGTATTACTATTACACATGTATTTATAGTAAATATAGTTTTAACATCAATAACTTAACTTTAAATAACAAAAAGACAATAATTAAGTAAATAGATATCTGCAATACTAGTAAAAAACCTATGCAGTGATATTCTGTGTCAATAGAAAAATAATAATGGCCTTGCCTCCAAGTTAATGTATAGAAATCGTTGAATTCATTGCCTTTTCTTATCAGGAAAGCACCGTTAGGTTCGTCCTCCAAAATTAACGTAGCTTCCTTGTGGCCCATTATTCCATGATACTCTTTACCATAGAACTCTGGTCTGTCAGAGCACGCCTCACAAGTTATACGTTTAGGGACTGGTGCTTCCATTTGAATACGATATACTGTAAAATAGGATTAATTAAAAATTAACAAGTAATAAAAATATTAAATGTTGATTGTAATTACTTACGTTCAGGTTTCCATATATTTTTAAGGTTCTCCATATTTAATTATAAGTACTTTGATAAATTCTAAATGAAGACGCCGTAGTTATGTCAAGGTATAAATAAAATACGGAAACGATTAGAAAATAAATAAAGAAATCTCAATCGTAAACAAAACAAAATACAAATGTCAAGACAGGAATGTAGATTGTAGATAAAGCGGTTTAAATTTATAAAGTCTGCATAGATTATAAATTATTGAGCCATAAAGCGATATGGGTAATTTCCATATTTTTCATTGACATTGATACAGTAACATAAAGAAACTTATTTTACGTATATTTTTTTAATTAAACGTAAAATACATGCATATATTATAATGATATATTAAACAAATTTCGGCGAAAGCGGTCTCACTTAGACTACTCATTTGCGTAAGTGATATTATAGTACGCATTGTGTCCACTGTTTACAAGTTGCAATGGCTAGAGATTACGGAGTGAAATATTATATACTAGCGGGTCATCCTCGCTTCGCTTGGGCATACAAACTTTTATCCCCATTTTCACCCCCATAAGGGATTTAAAAAAAAACTTATTCTAATATATATTTTTTTATTTTAATTTTCTTCTAACAAAGCTTGTCCTGACAATATCAAACACAAAAAAAATGAATTATCCAATTTGGTGTACTCGATCGGAAGTTATGCGCGTACATACATTTCGGTGATTCATTTTTAATTACATATAATAGATAGATTACCTACTTGGCAGGTTTTACTTCAACAGATTAAATAAGTAAATGTCTTTACTTAGTTTAACTAGCTACCATATATTCGGTAATACGCTAGAACTATACCAAAGTTAAACAATCATATTAAATGTTTGTCTGTTTGTATCCACCATTGACCGGAACAATGGAATGGGTTTTTTCTCGAGATCCCTTCAAATCCAAATGTTGTACCTAACAACTTCGCATTGCGGTGAAATTAATCTGCGTTGTACGTCATCATCATATCAATATTTTATTGATTAAATGCTAAATGCTCTCTTACTACGTATAACGTATGTACGTTGGGTAGGATATGTATATATGTAATTATTTACTACTATTTTTAGTTAACTCAAAACCTTCAAATTCATATATGATCTTTCTTATGTACTATGATTAGATAGTAATTGAGCTGAGTTTAAATTTTTAGTACTCATAATATTTAATTATACTGTTACCTTCTAGTCTTAATCATGTTTATGGCAATGAAAGGATATTTCCCGCTAAGGTGTAAATAGCACATCCATGTACATCAGCGGGGGGTTCTAATCGAACGCGTCCTTTATTTAACTTACCTAAGTTTCTCTTTGGAAATTGAAAATACATCAATTACTTACTCAATAATATAAAGGTAAGGTAGATATAAAACCTTATTTCATATTATACATATAGATTCATCAGACATATTTATTAATTTAAATCTTCGTAAAATGTTTCCTATTTGATTTTATATTTATTATACTTATCTTTAGGTACTCGTAGTAATAAGAAACCTAGTAAATTATAAATTCATAAAGTCTAATACTACTTCTTTAATACTACGTTTTACCTATTTGAACCTAGACAAATCTAGATGCTCTAAAATCTAAATTGTGATGATAAAGACAAATACAAAAATATAATTTTTGTTCTTTAATAGAGGACGACTAGAGATAATTTTAAACTTATTTATTCAGTAGAATCGACTACTTAGTCACTGAAACTAAAAATTAGACGCATACGATAAAATAATAATATTATTAAATATTTTGTAGTATTAACTATTGTAGAATGAATAATAAATAAATTTATACTTCAAGGACTAAAACAACAAGATTCAATTAATATCATTTTCAGTTGAATAATTTAACATTAATATTTGAGTTAAAAAATATTATTCTTTTAGAAATATATAACGTTGATATCGTTGTAAATATTTAAGTAAACATAATACAAAATTTACACAGCGATAAAACGCTTCAGCGTCCGCTTTAAAAAGGGCACAACCTTAAAGGACGCCTTAAACGTATATATAAAAGAAGTAATGTATGTAGATTGGAGACATTAAAACTACTAGTGAGGCAAGCGATCGTAACAATTAAAATGGCTAAATTTATTTTTATCTTATTAGTTCTTAATTTATTTTGTAACTATAATTGCTGGGTAGTTACTGATATAAACAGCAGCGCTTTAATGGATAACGCCATAGAAGATTTAGATGGTGATATGACTCCTGAAGAGTTAGCTCAGTTTTCGCAAAGGCTCAATCTAGTTTTCCCAGGTGAGTAGGTATTTTATAAAACGAAATGAAACAAGCATAGTTCGGACTGAGATTAATACGGATTTATGATTAAAAAATTGAATGAAACAGTTAAAAACTCCCCATATACAAAATAATTTATAATAAAAACTTTGAAAAAGTCGGTTTGGCTTCAAAAAAAAAACACTAAAAAGTAAAGAGTAACTGATTGGTAGTTTTCATTTACTATGGATAGGTACTTACCTAATCAGATATTTTCCAAGTTAGCGTGCTTTGATTTGTCTCGGCTGACACCGACTTCGAAAATATCTGATTATCTATAGTAAAATCAGTTTTTTTTATTTTTTACTGTTTTTTTAAGTCGGTTTTTATTTTAATTTTTTTAAGTTTTTATTTTTCCATTTTTAGTGTAGACATAGTAGTAGCAAAATAAGAAAAAAGTATTTAAAAATTCAGTAGGTTAAAAATCAGGGGTATTTCCTACACTTAGGGATTATTATTATTTTTTTCAAAATTAAATGGGGCCCTTTTAGAATAAACCTGTTTCGAACAAAAAAAGAATATGCAATTCCGTCTGTAGGTATAAGACGGAGTTGTGCTCGAATATGCATAAAAAATATAAAATCCGAATTGAGAACCTCCTCCTTTTTTGAAGTCGGTTAAATAATAGAAACATCATTTTCTCGTTTCCTGAAATACTTAACGATCGAAAATAATATACATTCATCTATAGGTCTAGGTATAGTTTTTAAAACATTTTCTATATCGTTTTTTATTTTTTATTTTTAAACATTCTTTACTACAACGACGACACGTTTAGCTCAGTTCGCGAGTTCGAGTCATTCATTTGTGTGATGAGCACGTATGCTTGTACTTCAGTCATGGGTATTATTATTTATAATATGTATGTATTTAAAGTTATATATTTTGTTTAGTGTACCTCCTAGCTTACCATGAAACTATTATAGATGGTGCTCTGTGTTATTATGTCTCATATATTATATCTGTAGGGGGTAATCTCTGGATTTACTGAACCGATTTAAATTATATTTGATAAGAAGATAGTTTGAGACATCAAAATCGCTTCTAGGGCACTCGCGCACTTCGGGCAAAGAATCCTAAAAATAAAAAATCAGACAAGTGTTTGGGTTATTAAGTCATTCAGTTTTGGCACCTCAAATCACAAATCTCATAGGGACAATTTTCCGCTTAACTTTTAATTCCGTTAGGCAGTAAACTATAACATATTTTCTTACCTTTCTCTTCTGACTAAAACTGAATCATTTAGTAAAGAACTTTACTTGAATCATTCTCTTATTTTAATATGTGTATAGTTCATACGTTAGTACCTGCTGTATTTATTGATTATAGAGCCTCAGAAATAAAGACCATATTTTCATTTACATACTAACAACTCACCCTCGCTCCGCTCCGGTTCGTCCCTACTTACATTTTAACGTTTAGTATAGATTTTTCAGGGATGGGATATTTTCCCGCAGTAAAAAGTATCCTATATGTTGACCCGGATAACCAGCTATGTATCATCATACCAAATTGCATCAAAATCCCTCCAGTGGTTTTTCCATGACAGATAGACAAAAATTCTAAAAACTATAGATTCGGCTTCTGTATCTATAATAATGACTATTTCAATAAGATTTGCCGGAAAATATTTAATGTACAGATACGAATCAGAATTTTATTATATGTACAGATTACTTGAAATATTTTTTTTGAGTCCATATACAATAATTTTACAAAATTATTAGGTACAAAGTGGTGTGGGCCTGGAGATACAGCAGATAATTATGACGACTTAGGCACCGCCAAGGAAACAGATATGTGCTGCAGAGACCACGACTACTGTGAGAATATTCCTTCAGGAGAGACAAAATATAATTTAACTAACAGTGCCTATTATACAAGGTTAGTATCTTTTCATACTTTTAGTTATTCAAATTAATTTTGATTCTGTTTTGTCTATTTTAAGACTGTTTAGCATTCTTGAGATTTCTTTTATAAAAGTAAAAAAAACTACATATACGAGAGCTTCCTGATTATTTTTTTATTATAACATTTTATCATAAAATGCAGATATTTTACAATATTAGTCATTAGTCATTACAATAGAGCTTCGTCAGCCATTATAAGCCACTACAGGTTGGTAAACTTAAGGATATGAAAAAAGGTGGTAGGCAGTGCCGGATTCAACCTTACCGTTGTCCCTGGACATAGTAAAAACTGCCGCCCAATTATGGGTATTAATATAATATTTTGCATAAAATAGGTAGAGTTTCGATATTGTTTAATTTTATTTATTTTTTGAAAAATGCAAAAAAATAATTTATAAATGATTTCAAATTTTCGAAAAATGTACTATGTAGTTAATTTTTTTTTAATTATTCATTTTTTGGAAAATAAGAAATTTCTTTTGATAACGCAAAGAGTATTTATTCGCACCCTCCGAATTTTGCCACCCCTAAATATTTGCTGTCCTGGGCACTAGCCCCGAGTGCCCCTAGTGTAAATCCAGCGCTGGTGGTCGGCGTTAACGCATTTCCCATCGTTAAAAAAAATAAAGAGAGGATATTAATTATTAGACATCGCCCTAAGCGCGCCTGCGAAGATCGAATGCGAATAAACGTATAGGGCTTAGATGAAATATCTGAACCTGACTATCGACAAGCAATCAACTTACAATCGTCAATGCAGGTCTTAGCTAGAAAACGGAGATCTCTTGTGTCTAGTTTGGATTCTCGCTCGGTTTCACCCTCACACCCTCGCCAGTGACTGTCATGCTCGACAGTGTGAGGCAATAGTAAGCAATGATTTCTACTATGAAACCGTAATCTTACTAAAGAAGATGGCGGAGAGGAAAGGCGAGATCAACTCTCACGCTGACCAAATCCACAGAATTCGAAGGAAAAAGACTATGTTACTATGCACCCCCTAATTCCTTAAGTATAATTCAAATTCTAATTTAAAATGTAACATATTGTAATTTTTTTTTGATGAAATCTTGCGATCAGTCTTTCAGACTATGAGCAGATGAGATGATTTAATGGCATGTTAGGCCCTACTCCCAGTGGAGTCTGCCCTATCTTTACAAAGTCATTCTTCTTTCTGACTGTTTTGGTCGAAAATGTCACGCCGCTTTTTTAATCGGCGGATGCTTTCTGGGATAGTAAGCTGTCCTGCTAGTTTGTTCGGATGCCTTAGCAGTCGGGATTTGTAGTTTTCGCCATGTGTATTTATCTCCTCATTGACCATGGGAATATTGAGGATTTCATGGATTTCTGTAGTCTTGATAAACCACGGTGCATTGGATATTTGTTTTAGGATATAATTTTGTGCCCTTTGCACTTTCATTATGTTGGAGGTACTGGCTGATCCCCAAAGTTGGATGCCGTATGTCCAGATTGGCTTTAGAATGGTCTTATGTATTAGGAGTTTGTTATCTATCGCCAGTTTTGAGTTTCAATATATTGTAATAATGTAAAAATATATTTAAAACTAGCATTGTCCGCGGCTCCGTCCGCGTTCAGGTGACCAAACACCCAATTCTTAGGTTTTACATATTAGTATACTCTTACATTGCAGTTTTTGTATTTTTTCTCAGAAATTAGATATTTTCCCGCGGTAAAAAGTATCCTATATGTTGACCCGGATAACCAGCTATCACCATACCAAATTTCATCGAAATCCCTCCAGTGGTTTTTCTGTGATGCGGTAACAGACAGACAGACAGACAGACAGACAAAAATTCGGCGTTTGTATCGATAATAATGTTTACTTCAATAACATTTTCTAAAAAATATTTAATGTACAGATTCGGCGTAGTTACAATTTTATTATATATATATATATATATATATATATATAGATTTCTTGATACTAAACTAACAATAAGTTATGGAGCTTATTGTATGAAATCGTGAGTCAACATATGAATAAAGTTATGACGTCATTAACTATGTAAAATGCTAAAAGGTTCCATTTATATACACTTTATAATCTGTCACGACCTTCCTCGACAATTAATAACTAAATTTCAGAGACATTTCTATTATAATCGGATTGTTATTTACAAGGCACTTACTGACAAATCTGTAGGGGTTCCCGGTTAGTTCTTGTAACATAAATAAAATCGTGAATATTTATTTTAAATATCTATTCTTAGTTTTCCTTGCGTGATACAAAATAATGAACAAATATTATTTTAAGCATTCGCTATCTATTCAATATTGATACATGGAAAGTAGAAATAAAGTTGAGTGAGACGCGTTCCATGATTATTAACTTCGTTTTCCGTAGAAATTATGTTCTCTTTTGATCCAAAACATTTATAGTTACCAAAGTTCAGCGAGTGATTGCTTAGCAAAATACAATCGGGTTATAATAGAAATATCTATAAGAAAATTAATTATTATCAATTGTCTTGAAAGCCCCTTTATACGGATTTATTGCAAGTTGTATCAGTAGGGTTTATAAATAATATTATAAAGTCTGTTTTGATAGTCTATTCTTCTCTCCACTTTTATCCTGTAATGTGAGAGATAGACCTAGGAGAAATATTCACCATTGTATGTATGTATGTTTACTACACACACTACTGTGTAGATGTACCATTAAGTCACGAATTTCCCAAGAATTGTAACATGCATAACATTAATAATAGGAATAAACACAAGTAATGCCTGTGACTCGTCTACACAGAGTCGGTAATTCTTTTTATGGACAATATATACGCTTATACAACTGGATCCCAGAAAATGTTCAAAAAGCTTCTATCGCCAAATTCAAAAGTTAAAGAATGTTTGTATGCTAAAGGCTATTATTATACAATTAATGATTTTATAGAAGATGGCACGCCTTGGGAATGAAGTGATCGCCTCCAGGCACTTCAACTTTATAGAAATATTGTAATTTATAATTTAGCTCTATAAAAAAATGTAACGAAATAATATTAGTCCCGCTGAGTTTCTTACGCCAGTGCTTCTCAGGTCTGAGGCTTCTTCTTTCTGTACTGGTAGTAGACAGGTGACGTTCAGTAATTATAAATTAAAAATTTAAAAATACCCCTACGCAAATTCATTGTCATTTAACAATTACACTGGCACGCGTGAAGTAAATTGAGTAATCATACTCCAAAATGCCTTACATCATTTTGGAAAAGAGCTGATACTCTTACACTGCTGAACCGATATTAACCAAACATAGCTAAGAACCACCGCAAGCAAACTGGCTTTCAAATGAAAAAAGCCGCATCGAAATCGGTCCATCCGTTTGAGAGCTACGATGCCACAGACGAACAGACACACACACAAAGACAGACAGACATTGACGTCAAACTTATAACACCCCTTTTTTTGCGTCGAGGGTTAAAAAATTGTAAAAATTTAATGCTGAATAAAATATTTTGAATTTAAGTTTTGAATTAATGAAGCTAAGTGATAAAATTATATTGAATATTTTACAGTAGTTTTCTTTATTTTCATTAGTACATTAAATATTTTTTGGAAAATCTTATTGAAATAGTCATTGTTATCGATACAGAGGCAGAATCTATAGTTTTAGATTTTTGTCTCTGTCTGTCTGGAGACGCATTACGAGAACACTACTGGACAGATTTTGATGAAATTAGGTATGATGATAGCTGGTTTTTCCGGTCAACATAGATATAGGATACTTTTTACTGCGAAAAATACCTCATCTCTTAAAAATCTATACTACCCGTTATGACTTACCTATTACCTATATTATAAGGTAACTTTTTTCAGGTTAAATTGCAAGTGTGATGAAAAGTTTCGTAAATGTTTACGTAGCGCTAACTCCGAAACTTCAAGGACAGTGGGCATAACCTATTTCAATATAATTGGTACCCAGTGTTATAGGAAAGACTATCCCATTATACAATGTAAAAGAAAAGGAGGGTAAGAATCGATTAGTTCACCTACCTACTAAAATATTTTATTTTTTTGTAATTGAAATTTCTAATCAGTAAATGTAACATACTCATGTACTAACAATGTACAGATTTCTCGACACTTTTTTCCAATTTGTTGAGGCTATTTTTTATTTTGGAATATACATTAACTTGATTCTCCGTACTGCCAAAGGTTTTACTAGATAAAATAATTAGTGGATTTTAAGAATTAAAAATGCATTATATTACTTTAATAATTATTTTTTAAGATGGCTGAACCAGAAGTGCCTTGAATATTCATATGATACAAGATCCGAGAAAGTGTATCAGTGGTTTGACGTGCCCAACTTTTAAAATAAATGGAAGTAAAATGTGAAGACTATGGTCTTTAATAGGACTATTATTACTTAGTAATACTTATAATAATTACTTAGTAATAATAGTCTTATTACGATTTATTATTTATGAAATCGCTAGATCTAGGATACATAATTAATAAGAGTTTTGTGAAAAGTCGTCAAGAACTCGACCTCCTCTCTTAATTGCAATATGGTAATATTGCAATTAAGTAGTAGTAGTATTTGAGTGTCTAATTAATAGAAAAGTAAGCGTCAGAACAAGTTGCTAGTATGTGATATTATTATGTAAACAATGTTTATTTATTAATTGTGAGTGTTTGTTATGTAAAATAAAAAAATATATTATAGACAAACTGTATTATTTACCGAATGAGTTATACAGATAGTTCATTAAAATAATCTTGCTTTAAATTATTTAGTTATCTGATCACCGAGTTCCTGATATGTCTCCCATTCTTGTACGACGACCAACATAAGTGTTTTTTGTATTGAGATACCTTTGGTCCCTTTTGAGGCAAAAGGCCGCCCAGCACCAACCAGCTTCATATTTTTTTAAATTCAAATAACTTAGGAACCACTAAAAATGGTTGCACGTACATGGGGGTTAAATCGATAAGTATTGTGGTCCTAGGTCCACTGCCAGCTTCGATCCATCACACATGTTACACACTATGTATGGTATGAATACCTACATACATCCATACTAATATTATAAATATGAATGTGTGTTTGTTTTTCGTTTTTTTGTTTGTTTGTTTGTCCTTCTTTCACGTCGAAATGGAGTAACGGGTTTGCGTGATTGTTTGTGTGGAGGTAGTTAGAGGGCTGGACAGTGACAAAGGCTACTTTTTATCGCGGGAGATTCCTTATTATTATTATTATTATTTGGTGTGTTAGTATATTTCAAAATTCATCCTATACGGGGTAAACCAGGGAGTGAAAATTTTTATGAAACTAGCCTTCTAAAAATAGATTTTTTTCTTTTAGATATTTTTTGGTGGTTTATCGCGAGCGAAGCCGCGGGTTCTGCTAGTAAGTATATACGGCAAGTATAGTATTGTATGATCTGTGATACAACCTTAAGCGTGATAAACGCTTCGCCGATATCATCGTAGCGTTGCCATTAATTTATAACTTCTTTTATACAAAATTTTTTGGCTACTAGTGCTACTAGTTTAGCATCTTCGCTTCACTCGAGTTTGACCTTAAACAAACCCAAGTATACCTACAATATGTCACTCAATACCTCCGACTATAAGTTAAAATGGACTGTGAGTTTCGTTTTATTGTAACACTAGCGGCTTAGTGGCTCACCGTCGCTTCGCTCGGTTTCGTCACTAGGTAGTAGGTACGTTTTAAATATAAATAGTTATTAGCCAGCGTTAGTCATATATTTAAAAAAAATATCGTTAATTTTTCTGATGTTTTAATACTTATTATCCTATTTCGGACTAAGAGAAATCCAAAAAATCAAACATCTTAAAAATTGGTCCAGCTGTTCTTGAGTATAAATGGTGTAACTAACACAACTTTGTTTTATATATATTATATATTTACCTTATTTTATATTTTTTCTCTTTACTAAAACTTTATACGGGAAAAAAATAAAAGTTAAATTGCTCGAGCCGTTATCGAGTTTTGGACTTAGCAACATTCATTTTTATTTATATAGAATTTAATATATGTACGAGTATATAGATAGATTTAGTCCAGAGTGTGATATTTTCTTGCGATAAAATTTTGCTTATGTCACGATCAATATATTTCTATATTTTATATTTCTCCATAACAGAAGCTCACAAGAATATTATTTTGTTCTTGTGAACCTCGCGCTGTATTTTCAATGTCTGATACAACATAATAATAATATTTGTCTCATTCAGGATCGAATGGGTTATACTGCCCAGTATTAACGATCAGACACAGTTTACCATACAATTCTTGAAACAAATTTAAAAACTTTCCCTTTCTTTGGTTAATATTTTTTATGTTAAAATAGTGTATAATATTATAAAAATGTTTAAGATGGCTGAACATGAGTTGAATATTCATACGATGCAATCTCCGAGAAGTGCAGGTACCCGTGGTTTGACGTGCCCAACTTTTAAGCAGAAAAATATAGACGGCTAGGTAAATTATGTTCTGAAATACACTAGCTATAACAAGAGCAGTTCTTATGTTTACATATTTATACTAATACTAGCGGCTCACCCTCGCATCGCTCGGGTTCGCCTCTAGACAAACAAAAACAAATCTATCCCACGGGAACCACACATTTTTAGTACAAAAAGTAGCCTTTTGTTATTTTGATGTATGACCTATATTATTATAAAGTTTCATTAAAATCAAATCAGTAGTTTTTGTGTACAAAGCTGTATATGTTTTTATTTTATTTATTTTATTGGGTGTGGTGCCGAGGTCGGCCCTAGCTACGTCGACCAGTTATGGTCCATTGTAGCTCCCTTTGGAATGAATTAAAGTTCTCCGCTTAGTCCTGTTGACTCCAGGAACTTCCAGATTTTCTGAGCGGGGAGCATCTGTATCTCTTCTGGTTGCATAATATGCTGCCCTAGATAGATACTTCTGCGGTGCATGAGTGGTCCGCACGAGGAGAGGATGTGCATAGCAGTTTCCTCTGTCTCATGGCATAAGTAGTCTGCACATTGCGGTCTGACAAAGCTGTATAAGTTACTATGTAAAAAAAACTATCCCACAGGAACTCTTTAATTTTCCGGGAAGAAAAGTATTTAAAATGTTGACCGGGAAAATAGGGCACCATTATGCAAAATTTTATTTAAATCGGTCCAAGAGTTTCAGAGATTAGCCCGTACAAACAGACAAACAGACAGAGAAACCAAAAATTTGAAAAAAAAACTGAATTTATTCTATTTCTCTTCTTACATCCCACCGACTCGGTTTTAGATTTTTTTTCTATGTACAGACATTCGACCTCTACAGTTTTATTATATGTATAGATAAGCGTATTTGTTTGGATATGTAGGTACACTTTACATAGGTACGAGTACATACAAAGCCGTGAAATAGAAAATGCTTAAAAATTTGTCCCTATATGATATAATTTATTATTACTGACAACAAATAGTTACCTAAATTTTAATAGTCCCTAAATCACGATTTGTAATAAAATTATCTTCATTTTGATACTTGGTTGGTTCCGGAAAATACGATCCAATTCGAGCAATTAATGTACACATAGCAAGACTCGCTGCAAGTACAAAACATATACTGTATACTAATATGTCTCCGACTGCATAATAGCACGGTAATGTATGTAATATTACCGTAATAATATAGATACTAAGTTCTTTCGTCAACTTGTTCTTATCATTTCAGTTTGCTTTTTACACAGTCGGATTTTTATTTTTGTTATAATGTATCTAATAAAAGTCGTTGTATACCATTTATTAAATTATTAGAATACTTTCTTGTTCCTTCACCGAACACACATCTGAGATCCTGTTAAAAGTCGATCCAGCTCTTCAAAGCTCCGCTCAAAATACTAGATAACAAAAAAAAACAAATATTTAAACCTCTTCTTCCTTCCATTCCTATAAGGGAATATGAGGATTTGAAAAACAATTTTATGAATGACAATATCAAGTTTTAAGGAAATTTGGCTAGAAAAATATAATTTCCTATACATATTTTTATTTTATACTTCTTTTTAATTTAACATTTATGTGTAAACCTCATATAAAAAATTGTAGTTATTGATCATAAATCGATGGATATAGTAGGATGAATCATTTATTTTTATTTATCGGATTTTCGGATGAATAAATAAATAAATATGTTGGGACATTAACACACAGCACCATCTAGTTCCATGGTAAGTTACGAAGCTTGTGTTATGGATACCAGATAGTTGATACATTATACATATATAACTTTAAATACATACATATTATAAATATAAACACCCATGACTGGAGTACAAGCATTCGTGCTCATCACACAAATGAATGCCCCCAGCGGGACTCAAACCCGCGACCGCTGGCGCAGCAAGTAGGGTCACTACAAACTGAGCCAAACGTGTCGTCGAATAACGAAAGACAGTGACTGGAGTACCATTTTTTCTATACAAACTTAGCAATTCCAAACAATAATTAGATTTTGCTTGTCATTGTAAACATACGGTCACAATTTTAGCAATGCAGGTATGTCCAATGGTTTCATCAAGCATCGGTGAATCAATCAGTCAGACATTTAATTGTCCATGTTATTATATTTCATGTAGTCGTCAATATTACTTTCTGTGCGAAATATAAAATGCGTTAAATAAAGAAGCGGCATTTGTATTATTTATTTTGTCGCAGCATATTGGTACATCGTTAAAGGTTTGTTTAGTATAGATTGCCATAATTTATTATTAAGTATAATTAATATACAACTCTTCATATTAAATTATGCATTTCATGATTGCACGATTAATATACAATAATTAATTATATTATTTCGTATAAATAACCATACACGTAGGTACATGTGATAAAAGATATGGATACAGATTTATAACAATGTATAAACAAGTGAACAACTTTGAACGCTGTTAGATATAACACTAGAATATTTATTAATAGAAAAATCTCAATAAATCAGGTCATACTTTTATAGTTAGATATGTAGCCTGGAGCTTAGCTAACGTATTTGTCACGCGCACGATTATTTACAACCGCCGTAACACATGAACTATCCAGATACGAGTAGTTTCAGATGCAAGTGCCCAAAAGATACATTGAGAGTATACAAAATCTAATAAACAAGTTCCTTCACCTACAAAACATCTACGAATTTTAATTAAATAATTTTGAAGGAAAATTCTCTGTATTAAAAGTTAAACTATTAGTGTGTCGAAAATTTCAAATAGTATAAGTAACACTTGCATGATGAAACCACTCTTACAATATTGGAGACTAAACAGCATGGCTAAACATTTTTTAAATATGAATGGTTACCTAGTAATCGCAAGCTAACTTTGTTATTTATATGCGAAAAGATTTAAATACTCGAGAATGTCGTTGGATAGATACAAAGCGATTATAAGGACTTAATAGAGAATCCCTTGTACGAAGTGAGCATCGAAATAGCCTACAGTTCAAGCAACCTTACCGAACAATATGTACAATAACAATAATAAGGATTGTTTGATGAACATAATTTGAGTCTCGTGACACTTCTTATACATACATTGACGTAATATGCGTAACATAATTGTTTTTTTAATTCTCTATTAAATTTATCTCATTTAACGAAAAAGTGAGATTTTATTAGTTTAATTTTTTTGATATATTTTTATCAAATATATAACAATGGTTATAAGCGATCAAACGAACATATAAACATGCCATTTGATCGTAAACCTCAATAACAGCAAAATTTTCGCCAATTATATTTTACTAAAAAAAATTTAAATTATTTTGTGACATTTTTAATTTAATCAGCAAAAATAGCTCAAAAAGCAGCTAAACAAAAAAAATTAGGTACACCTATTTAAATATAAAAATTAAGTATCATAATTACGATTTTTTCACTTTTCTTAAAGGTCTGAACAAGCATTGTTATTGTATTCCTTAACAGTCTTCATTTTACAAGATAGGTAAAATTGAAATTTTATATATTCTTTAATATTTAATTCATATATCATATTTAAAGTAATTTAATCATTTGCAAGCAGTCTTTAAAGTGGCTCGATATGCATGGCCTCGCATCACGCCAATCTTGAATATACATATTTATTTTCAACGGAACAGAACAAACAATGCTATTTACTTAGCGCATTTCAAAAAAATAAGTATATTTTAAAAAGTAAACTCCATAATAATAAGTCAACTTATTAGGGTTGTTACTGTATTTCCTAGACTTAAAAAAAACATCGAATACTGATCTCGAAATTCTACGTGATGACGCAATTATTTATTATATATTAATGAGATGGTATCACGTCTACTATCACAGAATATTATTTATTTTCGAGAGAAGGTAGTTGTATATCGGCGTATATCTTTTAGTATGGACTTACAGAAAATCTTATGAGTTAAATGGCTGTTGAACTGTTATCTTAAGAGGCACCTATATTAAGTATATTTAAGACGTACATACATACACTGATAATTATTGTTTATAACACAACTTATCATATCGAGAACATTGAATAGATTGTAACATTCGTTATGATTTTTTTTAAATATATGTAAAATTTTTGAGTCAATATTTAACATTATTATAAACATTTGAAACAGGTAATCATGATCACTCACACTTTCGCATGTTAATTATTGCCAAGTCGATACTGTTGATTGGGTAATGTTCTGCAAGGACGGTTGCAGGATCGGACATGGGCCAATCGATTTTTACTCATGTAAAAATATCGCAGGACTTTAGTGCATTCCTAAAGTACATTCCATATTTAGCAAGTACTGGTATTTATCTAATATAAAGGGGGAACTGACATCTAGCGCTTAAGAATGAAATAAAGAAATAGGTTTATGCGTTCCAATCATATTTAAGAAGTAGGTAACATACTAACAGTCAGACATAAATACATAAAACAAGACGTTTCGTCTTATATACGAAATAATGTACTTTATGTGGAGGATCATTTTAGACAAAAGTATCGAGAAATATTGTCTTCGAGGTGTTTGTGCAAAAACGATCCTTCACAAAAACTAAATACTCTTATAATAATCTAACCTAACAGACGGGCACAGATTTGAAAGATAGAAAACATTACACATAAGTTCATAACTATAGTTACAGGTGTTTAATCGTCAACCGTGCGTTCTATCGAGACCACTAAATATTTGAATATTCACTAAACTGTGCGTTTATTGAATTTTAACTTTTATTATTTACATTCTTATATTATCGGTTAATGGTAAGTCGAATGGTCTACAGTAGAAAAATTCGATATACACGGCTGTGACAAGCCGGGCAGGGGAACAGCAGCAGAACCCTTTCGCGTATAAATAAAAACGAGAACATATTTACTCTTATGAAGGCCTTGGAGGCCGTACAGTCGACATTATTTGCCGCCGAGGCCGAACTTCATGAATATTAGTTCCTTGCCTTTGCTGAGGATATCGCCCCCGGGGGCGGTCATCTCGGTGAACTTCTGCATGAGGTTCGGTTGTGAGGTGGGTGGTTGTGGTTGCGTGGTCGGTTGCGCGGTGGGCGCCGGGACCACGGCTGGCCCCCCGCGCCGCGCCGGTGACGTGCTGACCGCGGTGGTGGTGCCGATGGGCGGCATGGCCGTGAGCGCGGTCGTGCCCGGCGACTGCACGGTTGGCGTGCTCACGTTACCAGCGCTCGTGCGCGCGATCGTGCTCACCTGCGGAGCGTTCGCCACGCCTCTCCCCCTCGCCTACGTAAAAACTCCGCTGTCATTTCATATCAACTATATTGGGGAGATATAATGTGAATCTAGCTTCTGTTAATGCAATTTTATGAAAACTAGCGAATTTAACTAATTCGCTACTGATTTACTACTGATTGATGATGGATCCGTCGCGAAAACCATCAAATTAATCAGGTTTACATTAATTTGGACCTTCTAATCTAAGGAAGAAATTAATTACAATATCATAGTTATATCATTGCTTATTACATTTAATATTTGACACAATTTTCATGCATTCATCTAATTTAGTTGCGTAATACGTGTGCAATATTGGTCATGCATTGCAGTACACTAAAGCGAATTGAGATAGATACAAATTCAATTTAATTTGTAATAGCTCAATTTTAATATTGATTAAATAATTAAAGTTTTCACGACTAAATAGCAAAGAGCGTGAAATTATACATAAAACATCATGCTTTGGAATCTTTTTTGTTTACAGAAAATAATAACTTCTTCTTCCAGACGATTACAATTTTGATAAAAATATATCAGTTTTTTTATATAAGTCCTAAATTCTAAAAAATTATATTCAGCTTACATAGTATTATATATATATTAATATTTATCGTAAATGTAACCGTCTAGTTATGGACCACATTCACAGGCTTCAGAGACTTTGTTATCATTAAGGTGAATGAGTAAATGGTATCTGATGTACGTGAAGTATACGCCAGTGTTGTTTTGTTCTAGTTCTGTATGATATGGTCCAGTATGAAATGATATCTAATGTGTTATCAACCTCAATGATTCGTCAAGACGACTGTGGACCAAGACATTTACGTTCGGAGACGCGCCCTTTAGCTAGATACACTGGGCGTAGATGAGACGCAAAAAAATATAAAGAAGAAAAATAAAAGGAAATGAAAAAAGTGAAAATCAAATCTAAAAGTATGAAGTGGTAGTTGAACTAAAGAAAATGACTAGCATCATTGCATAATCTGAAAGTATTGTTGTGGGGTCAAACTGTATAAACGGTAATATTTTTTTACCTGAGAATTCGCCTGTTCTGGATTACTGGCGCATGTGTTGTGGTCTAACTGAGAAGGGGGAAGAGGGCAGGCATCTAGCAAACAGACAATACACACAACATATATAGTGACCACAGACAACCACTTGAATCTTGGATCACACTTCACGCACATCGTGGGCTCTGTGCAATGCTATGTTGCGTGTATTTGACCAGCCTACCTTGCGTGAACTAACGTAATAGCTATTTCGATAAAAACAGGGAAGTTGTGATAAAATAAAAATAGAATAGACAGTTAGAAAGATAATGCAGAACGAAAAAAGTTGCCCTCATCTTATACCGGAATTAACAGAAACGTTTCGTATTCTGACTTTCGTGTATCGTTGTATCTTCAAGTTTTCACGTGTGGAACATCGATGTCTGTGACTGTGTAATCCAAGATAGTGTTATCAGCATAGTGTACACCAAGAGTCTTTGTGCTCCGTGGATTGCAACCGGACTCGCGTTACAAATATTAGTTGTACTTATGAATTGTATGTGTTTTAATATTCTTTGAGTATAGTTCATATTTGTTGATTCACGGATGATGCAGACGGAAGATAATATATACCTAGTTATTTAGCGGAAAAGAATTTTGCAAGAATAACTCGCAATGCGAGTCCCGTAGCAATCATTAGACCGTGTACAGAAAAGATGATAGAAGTTACCAGAGCAAAATAGCGAGCGTTTTTCAGTAGTCACACAGCAAGTCCAAGGTGCAAACATGAAACACTCAAAGCTCTTAGTGATCAGAATTAACCCTGATCGTCGGCTGGACTTACCTAAACATTTTTTTTATCTAACAGGGAAAAATAACTATAACAGCAAATATTGAAAAGCCGTTCGCGGCTCTACACAGTACATAACATAAAAGAATGGGAATCATACCTGTTTTTCGATGATGGTTTCTTGGTACAGGAGCAACATTATCTCTAGGAGGAGGTGGAGGACCACGAGCCCCGGGGCCTGGAGGAGCCCCCCGCCCACGTCCCTGGCCTCCTCCGGGAACATTTACTGCAACTGCCCCGCGGACTCCAGCAACTCCACCTATAATTAAAAAAAAACCAATCGGTAGCACTATTGCCATTATCCGTTAGCCATATTTAGCTATGTTAAAGTTATACAATTAGAATTGTTAGTAGAATCGATAATATAATAATAATTTTACCTTGACAAGGAGGTGCTGCTTGTCCATACTGGTCGTTGGCTTCGATGAGAAAATTACTGGGTACTAATCCTCTTACACCATCTATTTCCGCCATGTAGAATCCATCATCGTCCATATCTCCATAGACATGAATTATCTGACCCGTTTGAAAACTTAGCTCCGCCTAAAATAGTTGTAATAATAATAATTATATTAATAAAACATACTGGTACTATCGACAACTAGCTGAACAACAATAATGCTATAAATAACTATATTATTTTGATAATCTACAAAATAAATATTGTGAAACTCATATTTTTTTACTTACATCGGCATCGACGTTGGGGCTAAGCTCTTGTGGATCGTAATCATAAAGCGCAACCATTCGCCGAACAGGTTGGTTAGCGTAAGCATCGGTCCATCTGTCTCGAGGTTTAGTAACTTGTCCAGTAGCTTCCTGTTCCGATAATTCCATAACCATATTATGAGGCACATAGCCTCGCCGACCACGACACTCACCCCAATAAAAGCCATCGGCATCTTTGTCACCCCAAACCTAATAAAATAATATTGACATTAAATAAAAATTACTCAGACTAATTCAAATTTTACATATATTAATTATACAATTTTTTATTTCATTATAATATTATTTATTTACATTAATTTACCTTACATTACATTTTGTATATTATACTAAAAATAATACCTTTATTGTGTCTCCTTCATTAAAAGGGAGTTCTTCATCACAACTTTCAGGGTTAGGACTCATTGTTGCTGGATCGTACTCAAATAGTGCAACGAAATAACGGCATTTCTTAGACTGCGGGTGACCTTGTTGCGCCCGTTGCCCCGGAGGCGCACCTCGTGGACCAATTGGTGGTCCCGGTCGAGGACCATATTGCTGATTCTGGCCTTGTTGCATTGCTTGTACTTGCGACTGTTATAAATTACATACTTATATTTAATAGCTGTTTTAATGGGGAGAAAAAAAACAATAACTTTATTGTAAAATTTACCTGATGAGGGTTAGGAGGACGTCCTCTCTCGTGATGATTTCTGGGCGGAGGGTTCTGATACTGTTGCGTCTGACCGGGGTACTGGGTTTGCTGATTACTTGGAAACTGGCCGCCCTGTGGATAGGGGAGTTGCTGCGTGCCATGGAAGGCTTGTGTATTCGGGTACTGCTGACCCGAAGGCGGCTGCGACGCTTGAGCAGGTTGGGACGGCTGCTGCTGACGTCCGTACGTACCAACACATTAATAAGGTTAGATTTTCCATAACAAAGCCCACAGCAATTTATCAAGCTTCACAGCCATATTATCTTTTTGGCGTATGCGATCATAAGCAATATATATACTTTACCTTTCGACATATAACATTCCGCTGCAATTCTATTCAATCCCCATGCACAACGAAAGCTAGCGTGCAGCACTTACATTTGAAACCGTATTTATTACCCATAGCACAAAAGTTCCGAAAGTGGTTGATAGCTTAGGATGCACATAGTAGAATTTTTTTAATTCAAAAGTTTTATTTCATATACGGCTTTTATTTTTAAAATCAGATGTAGTATAAAGAGTGTGACAGAGTAGTATTGAAATCGAGTTGAAGCCAAGACAGCATGCAGGAGTAATCATACAAACACGCTGCGCATGCTCGGATGATATGATTTTGTTTCGAGTGCTGTGTGGGGAATTTGTCTTCTACCTATCTGTTGGGAATTTATTACGTGTTTCAAGACCTGGACGGTGTCGGATGTGAACCTGTGTATTGTGTCGAACATCGAGGACGTGAAGATAACAACACAGAACAACGAAAAGTGAAAATTTGTGATCGGGAACTTCCGCATAAAATTGAGATAGAAGAGAGCAAAGTGAAAAGTGCTAGCACATGAAGAGCACATCGATGACATTTAGGATCGCAGACCTGCGGGCGGCGACGCGACGCCTCCTCATCTTCACTACTCGCTTCCACTGCGCCCTCTTTAGTGATTTCGATGGCCGGTATCCCTGATTGCTGATAGGTACCACACGTTCATTCATCATTTTGTACATAGACTATGATTTAACACTATATGATCATGAAATAGATGAAATAATTTGGTAAATTTGCCGCTCAAGCTTGAACTAATTGATAAGCTGACGACGACATAATATCCATATATTAAGAGGCCATTATACAAATATATTTCAGGATGTGAAGGCAATATGAAAAGAGCAAGTGAGTCCGCGTTGAGAAGCGAAAGTGAAAATAAAAGTTGGCTGCCGTGAAAGCGTTCCCCCAAATCAACATGATGCTGACGATTATGCCTAATGATTATAACATGAGCAGTGTTCTTATAGTTTAACAGTAGACTATAGTGTGTTCGTAATCTATTTATTGCTGTCCTGCTTCAATCATTTTCTATAGGAAAAAATTATGATATAATTCCTTATCAAATACCAATTTCATATGGTTTTTGAATAAATTATTTAAAACAGTTAAAACGCTAATTGCCTCTCCAAATCTAAGAGCTATAATGTGTATATTAAATATATTTCTAAACATATAAAACTTTATAAGAAGTTATTCAATAGATGAATATGCATTATAGTTAGCTAACAAATACTTTTCTTCTACGATTATTGTATTTGTCTACTCTTATATGTACAGAAGCATACTCAAAGAAAATATCATTTTAAGTATGGATTATAAACTGTCTACGTAAGTAAATACGCATATAACGATGCTATTAAAATACGAGCACACTGTGTAAAAATAAAATAAAATGTCAACTAATAACAAAAACTTAAACACACTCCCAAAAATAAAATCAATAAATTCTAAACAAAACGTGTCAAGGAGATGGTAAAAGAAATAAATAAAAGTATATATAAAAGACGTGTTAAAATTCCTTACCGAAGGGGTTATTTTGTCGAATATACTCTTTAGAAGGCCTGTGCCGAATCCGCTCGTGGGCTATGGAAAGGTGTATAATAGTTATGTGAGAGAGAGAGGCAAGGTTATACTTTAAGTGGCACGTTAACAAAATGAGCTCGATGAAGAACTGTCTGTGTCACAAAGTACAAGCTCTTTATCTGTTCTAAGTATACAGGTATCTGTAGGGTGTCGTGCGCTGTCAGGAATCGGCCAATAGCACTAGAGACTACAAATCTAGTCGCAAGCAGTAAGTATGCATTTAATTTTGACGCTCGAGCCGAGTGCATAGCTAGAATATAGTCGATTGCGCGCGTGGTTGTGTTGGAACCGTTTGGCAGAGAACTACTTGACACTTAGAAGATGCCAGCGACAGGACCACAGGAGATAGTATAAAGAGTGCAGTTTGCAACACCGATATTACACGAGAAGCTATTTATTTGTATTTTTTAAGAGAGGTACCATTTTTATGGACCTAAGCTTGGAATATAAGAAGCGATCGTTGGAGGAGCGGGTTATATTTTTAAAAGGAGACGCGGTGGTTAGTTTTAATTGTATAGAATGGTTTGAAGTAATGAAGGGAACAAAAGTTATGGAGGGTTAAAGTAACAACCCTCTCTTATATAACTTTTCATCATTAACACAATAATATTAAGGTTAATTTTTATTTACATCTTAACACTATATGAAATAGTTTTGTTCAACTTGGACTTAGGAACGCTTGCTCTACTTACAGAGTTACTAGCGGACCCGACAGACGTTGTCCTGTCTACACGTCTTTAATTTGAAAATTTCAAACTTTTTTTAATAATTTTTTTGATGTAAATTATTATTCAAATTGTGAATCTAAACCATTCCCAGATCCCCTTGAACACACACAAAAAATTTCATCAAAATCGGTCCAGTCGTTTGAGAGAAGTTCAGTGACATACACACTCACAGAAGAATTATATATATAAAGATTACATGGTAGCATTATCAGAAGATGAAAAAATCATAGGAATACATAGGATTGTAAATTTTAAACCTCTATAACTTGTGTCACTTTTATTTTCTTAAAATAATTTCTATATTGAAATTTTAATTTTATAATTCACCTATATTTAGATCCCCTTTAATCTCAGAAATTAAAAAGAAATATACCTAACCCTTTCCTCTAACGACGACTTGGCATATACCTACTATCCATCTATATATATAAAAGAAAGTCGTGTTAGTTACTTCGCTTATAACTCAAGAACGGCTGAACCGATTTAGCTGAAAATTGGCAGGGAGGTAGTTTAGAGCCAGGAGAAGGACATAGGATACTTTTTATCCCGTTCGACCGCGTTCCAATTTTTATGATATTTTAATTTTTGGATTTCTCTTAGTCCGGAATAGGTAAGTATTAAAACATATAATTAAAATGTGAGAAAGAAAGATTTTTTCTTTTTATATCTATTTAAAACGTACCTAGCGACGAACCCGAGCGAAGCGAGGGTGAGCCGCTAGTATTTTAAATATTATACATGTGCAAGTAACTCTGTCTCTTACTTTTTCATGCTTATCCCGCTGAACAGATTTCGATAAAATTTATAGACAACGTTTGATCGCCGCAAAAGATTACACGCAAGCGAAGCCGCGGGCAAAAATTAATTTTCTTTAAATTTGTCGAACCCGAAAACATAAATAGCTTCTTTTGTAAAAAAAGAGCATATGACATTAATTTTTATAAGACAGCTAAAATACACAGATGAAAAAGACGCGAGAATAACGTAAACTCAAGTAAGCTTTGACATAAAATTATAAATAAATGTTCAATGAACACATTCTGGCCAAATAAGATTCTGAACAATTTACACACAATATAAATACGTATACAACATTGATTTGCAAACTAAGTAATATACACAAAGTGCTGTGCCAATATTAAATTATTTTAATGATATTAACATAATAATGAACGAAACGTACACTATCATAAGATAACGAAATTAAATTATTATTTTAGATACAAAGCGTTATATAAAAAAAATACTATCAAAAGCTGAACGTTTCATCGATAACAAAAGTTTTTTTTTTATTTTACTTATTTAGTTACATATTTTCAAATTTACCAAATGTTTTAAAAATATATACACACAAAATTTAATTAAATGAATTTTCACCTGAGTAGTTTGTGGATCATTCGGGCGATTACTCGATGGGAATATTTCCTTATCAGAAAGATTCTCATCGTGTTCTATCACTTGTTGATGCTGTTGGTATGGCTGAGGACGCTGTCCTCGATATCCAGCAACTGGTTGAGCCGGCCCAGGACCTGGTCCACGTGGGATTCTCGAGGCGACTCCACGAAGTACTGCAGGAGGTATAGGAGTGGGAGCACTATCGCTCGACTGGCTATCGCGAGATTTGGTTCGCACCTGCAAGAATAAAATTAACTTACAAGTCATATCTAAATTAAGTCTGTAGTTAAGTAATAGCACACAATGCGTGTCATTTACGAAAATAATATGTGCAATTAATAACACAGCGCTCAAGTAGCCAGTCTAAGCAGTACAATACTTACAGTGACGCATTTCGGATTGAGGCCGATCAGTTTGCCAATGTCGATGAGAGCATGATCACCGGTCGGAGAATCGACATCAGTTACTTTCTTCCCATCGGCGTACACCGCGTATCCGGTAACGGGCCCAGAAGCAGGAGGGCGAAGCACCGGTTGCCACGTCACAAGCAGGGTGCCGTCCTGGGGTCCAGCTTCCACCTGCGACACCGCACCAATCACCACCAACAATCCAGCCAATTTGTTAAGGCCAATTGGTTTATGAACATCCATACATACTATTAAGCCACATTGAGGGAGGAATCAACAAAGGGATTACTAAGCTACCAACAACGTGAGCGAAGTCAAAAAATTTGTCCTGGCGCTGGATTAATGGTTGCGATTGACGCGACTTCCTCGAAACTTTCCATGGTGCCGCGTGCTTTGGGGTTGTGATATTACTTGAAAGGGAGGGGTTGTGTATGAACTGTGGTATAATTAATGTTAGGACCTTAATCACACACTTTGTGAGCGTTGGAAAGCATTCTTAAAGTGCGTGTGCTAAAACGCTTATACATAGATTAATTATTATGGTATAACAAGCAGTTTTGTAAGATTTAAGTATTTACATAACTGTTTCAAAATGTTTTTTATTAAATTTTGAGGTAATATAATATATCATGAACTAAGTATTCATAAAAAGATAGTATATTTGTATAAGGGCGAGCAGGAAATGTGAGTGTAGAGTGTATAAAAATTGACCAAAGCATGCTTAGTTCATTTCATGCTAAGTTTCTAAAAAGTAAGTGTATGTACCATTATTTCGTTAGGTGGATCCGGCAATCCTTTTGGTAATGTCCTGAAGTCTGTGTAAGCGCCAGGGGCTTCTTCAATAGGAACTCCAGGAGGGCCCGCTCTTAAATGCTTAGCCCTTACAGTCACTCGATATTGTGTACTTGGTGATAGACCCGTTATAATATGCCGGTAAACACCAGGTTTCACAGTTCGAACCTTAAAAATAGATAATTTATTAAGAACTATTTTCTACCATAATAGTATAGGTGCAGGTTTAAAAGATGAGATTTTATATGATTAAACTTTACAGGAAGTCTAATTTTTAAGGTAGAAAAAAATACTGCCTACATAATAAAGGTAATATTAAAGAAAACAACTTACTTCCACGTTATTAACGCAGACGACATGTTGATGGTTAGAATTAGCTGGCAACCATGATATAACAGCTTGAGAACAGGTCACTCCACTAGCCCTCACGCAAGTAGGTCCCATATTACCAGTATCTCTGCCAATTACCATGGTGCAAGCAGCATCTCTAGACGTACGTCTGGTAGCAGTCACTGAACGGACGCTAATTCTATGTGGCTTTAAAATAATTCGAATATTATATTAGAATTAAATTATTAAAAAAATATTAAAATACTAATTGAAAATTTAATAATTATTAAAGAATAAAATTTTGATGAAAAACTAAATGTGATTTTAACTAAAGAATAAAATTGTTGATTAAATAAATAACTATAATAACTGTTACCAATAGTTTTTAGGAATAGCTTGATAACTCACTCGATTAGCATCTACGCCTTCGACCAAAGCCCGTGTGCGTTCTGTTGCTTTCACCGTAGTCTTAAGGACCCCATCAACGTAGACATGGTAACTCTCAATGTTCGCTTGTTGCACTCCCTCGGGCGCAGTCCAGCCGATCAGCACAGACTTGTTGAGTTGCCTCTCGAGTGTGAGCTGCCGCGGTGCGGGTACTAACGACGAGAAAAACAGCTCGGCTGTTCAGGTCCGAGGGTAGATCGCGAATTGGAGATAGCCAAGCAGGCGAAGTGCGAGTGATATGCCAAGAAGCGTGCAGCGAAATCCGATGTTAAAGGATGGGCCAAATAGGATAGGATAAAGGTTTAACTATAGATTTCTATGGCTACTTTATCGTATATGAGTGATTCAATTTACATCCTGCTAAACATAGTTATTCAATGTTGCATGAACTCATTAAAATTTATTATTTAATATAACTGTAATTGTAAATAAACGCAACTGCCTAAATGAACTATTAGTGCATTAAATTATTAGTTATGCGTGAAATTAACATGCAGATATTGTAGCGAATTTTGGACAAAATGAAATTGAAATTTTGGTTGATAATGTACATAACGCTACTAGTATTGTATAGTTTAATTAAATAGGATATGACTGTGACTACTAAGAGGCCTTGGATACTAATGTGGAGGTAATGATGTATCTTTTTTATTAACTAGAGTATACGCTATTATTCATGACTGTCTAATACAATCTTTATTGTCAACAAATCTTACCATTATCGTCATCTTCCGGTCCTTCACTTATATCTGCCATTTCACTAAGGCGAGCAACATCTCTACTGAGTGATAAGTCACTTATAGCTGTTGTTGCAGTTTCATCAGCATCGCGTAAAGTAGCCACGACTGCCTGCTCATTTCAAATTTAATAATTCAGTTATCTAATTCAATATAACTTACCATTGTACAATTGAATTTAGGAATACCTGATGAAATTCCAGAAGATCATCTCCCACCAGACGTTGAACAAAATTTGCAGGAACTAATCCTCGACGCCCGTCAAGCAATTCTGCATCGAGCATCGTTGCATTAGGGTCAGGGGGACCCCAAACCAGCAAATAATCTCCAGCACAAATAGATAATTCTCCTTCCGTATTCTCAACTCTAAAAAATTTGCTTTAATTCATACCAATCAAAAATTTTGGCAATATATTAATATTCCCAATAACTTACTCGGGTGGATCATAAGAGAATCTAGCGATGTAAACACAACAACGACCTTTTCCTGGAATATCCAACATGTCAACTTGAGGTTCACTTGGTGCACCGCCGTTCATATAATGAGTGTTTCGTACTGTAAAGATTTAATAAAATGTTAGTACCGACTTTAACACTATCATATTAAATAAATGTTAATAAAAAAGGTTGTACCGTCTACATCCAACATATTATTGGGTAAAAGTCTTATAGCTCTAGGACCTCGATCATGAAGAAAGGTGTCTAAATTTCCTATTCTATCAGTTCCAAATTGGCTTTCTAGTCCTAAATTCCAGGTAGGTTGATGCGGCGTTACCGGGGTAGCAGCTCTAACCATAGATGGATTGTTAGTTCCATATCTACTTAATCCAAGATCAATTTCATCTATAGGCTTAAGTTTAATATTCATAGTATTTGTTCCCAATCCACTCGGTACAAGAGGATTTGTATAAGTTCCAACGCCTGTCCCATATGCATTCGTTCCTGTCAAACTAGTATTGAGTGCCCCTATTTGAGTTCCGCTTGTAAGATTACTCAATGGATTTCCAAGTGCGCTTGTTAAATTTGATTGTATGCCAGCAAGTGCACTAGAAAGACCTCCTGATAAACTTGTTGGTGGATTGTTTAAGCCGCTAGAAAGTCCTGCTCCTGTCATGGTCCCGGTCATAGATGGACCAACCAATGTAGCACCTAAGTTCATACCGGATACGTTTCCCGTCATGTTTTGAAGATTTGACTGTAACCCTGCTAGAGTACTAGAAATTTGATTAATATTGTTTACAAGAGGAGCAGTTACGGGATTTGTGAATGTAACTTGATGAGCGTTCGTCATACCAAAAGAGGCAGGCACTGGATTCGAATAAGAAGAGGGGTTGTGCGCACTCATAGAGTAGGCTACAGAGTTGGAGCTAGGTGCAGTAAACTGAGACGTCGCATGTAGTGAGGAAAGAGTCGGCATGGTGTTGCTCTGACATAATGCGGCATGGCCGGTCACGCTAGTGTATGAGTGCGGCAGCGGCGATGGTATCGGTGAATGAAAATCTCCCAAAGCTTGATTTGATCCACTTGACTGAATTCCTGTACAAAGCAAAATATTATACAATAAGCAGAAAATTAAAATGTTATTATTATAAGTACAATTATAAGATATGTTTACTATATAACAGTTAAAGATCATACTTCAATAAATACTAATTAATTTATTTTATAGTGATGTACCATGTGTGGTAGATCTGGAATGCTCTAATTCGGCTAATATGCGATTGTCTTGCTCGATCTTGGCCATTATTCGTTCTATTTCGGAAGCTGGCTGTACGGCTGTTGTAGACCAAGTGGCAGTTGTAGATGTTCCACGTGCGCGCATTGCTGATGATAGTTCTAACTGAAGTTCCTCGCAACGAACCGTTTCCAAGGCCGCCTAGAATTTAATATGTATTTGTAATACACTTATTTATTATTAGGATTTATAATATCCATTTAAGATTAAAGAGAATGATAAATGTGTTCATTAATTAATTTACGAGCGTCTACACCGTTCATACAAATTTACTTTTTACAATTGTTTTCATTAAACGTAGCAAAAACTTTAAAAATATTTCATTGGATTTAAATGGATTGTGGTTCTGAATAAAAAAGGTAATATACTCTAGCTTTCTGACATTTATGCGTATTCAAAATTGATATGCGTACAACACATATGTATGTATGATTGTACAATGTACATATATAAAAGCTACATAGTTTAATGAATGTATTTTGTCTCATAAGTACATTACATGATCCGACATATAAAAAACAAGGTTTGGGTTAACCAAAATCACACATTACACCTTCTTTACCTTCTTCTCTAATTCGCGTACTTTAGATTGAAGGTGGTCGACACTGCGCAAGTTGTGCGGCAAGCGCTGTGCCACTCGAATCTGTACGCGCGTTAACTTTGGATATAGCATATACTCACTCACAGACTAAAGAATTATATAGACGGAACCCGCGAAAATAAATGTCAAAGTCAAAAATAGTAGCGTGATTTTATGTTTATGCTACCATTCTGGATTTTGCCATAACGGTTCTTCAAGGAAAACAGAAATTATATGTAGATTTTAGTCGTTTACAATATTTAATAAGAAAATCCGTATTAATTAATATTATAAATATGAAAATTTGTGAGCATGGATTTTTGTTACTCTTTCACGCCAGAACGGTTAAACAGATCTGGATGAAAATTGCAGAGATACATTATAGTCTGGAATAACACATAGGTTACTTTTTATCCCGGAAAAATGTGCGGTTCCCGTGGGATAGGTTTGGTTTTGTTCTCCTAGAGGCGAACTTGAGCGACGCGAGGGTGAGCCGCTAGTGTGAATTATAAAAAACACTACACAGTATATTCATTTCTTTCAAGCATTAGTTTTCTTTTCTCTCTTCCCTTGAAAAAGAGACAACATAGTATTATCGCCAGCTATATTTTTATTTATTAACATTTATTGAAGTAGGTACATATCAAAGTTATGAATATTCTATGTTTGTCTTTACGTTTATTTTTATGACACTGTCTATATTATTCCTTAGTCTGAGCACATACTTTACACACACAAAAACTTTCTAATTTATTTATCAATAAATAGTTTTGTTATCTAAGTTGTATGTCACCATTTTGGTTCTTACGACAAAAAATATAAAAGTGTACCTTTTTCTCAAGTTCGCGTACTCTCGACTGTAGTTGTTCGACATTATGGGAGTCGTGAGGAGAGCGTTGAGCCGAGCGGAGTTGAGCGAGTGCGTCTGCGTGCGCGCGCTCTGCGTCTGCGCGGGCGCGCTCCGCCTCACGCAGTCGCCGCGACAGCGCGTCGGAATCACCGCCGCTCGACATGCTGTAGCTCATTATCTGCATGTAAAACAAACTTAAGTAAGTAACAAACTTGAGTAAATAGGTATTATACTATCTATTATACTACCTACCTACCTATTGCCCTTACATTATACGCGAAAGTTTGCGAATGTGTGTATTTGTTATTTATAACGCTGTAACCGTTCAATAGATGTGAAAAAAATTTGGATTTATTATCTGTACCCTAGATGAATTTACAAGCGAAGCCGTGGGTAAAAAGTAGTAGCTTATAAAATTTAGAATAAACATGGTTAAGCTGCTAATCTATACATATATAATCGCCTATAGTCTAGATCTAGACTGATCCATTAAGGTCCAGACCAAATTGCTCAACCTACAAACAGGTCTGGACTAACAGCATATTTCAATAACGATATGAGATTTTTTTGAAATTAATTAAAAATGTTCGGGTTATTTTAATCTTTGGGTTCCAAAGTTAAAAAATCAGACAAGTAATGCTAGACCAGACTGCTACTTATAATAAGTAACTGACGTAATTTCTATGCTAAAAGAAGTGATAACAAAAATAAATAAATTTTATTTAAATATTGTTAGTTTATGTCTATTTATAGTATTATTATCTTTATTTTTGAAAATGACTTAGCTACTATATTTGTATATACTATGGAACATATAACTAAAGAAATTGTTAGTTTATCAATAATTATTCTCTTGTTAATGGCATCTAAGCATGCATGCCCATTGAGCACAGATTACTTCGCCAATGTCACGTAGAATGGAGAAAAATGATTAGCTTTTATTTTGTTGGGTTGAAGGCGGTTATTTCTGGAACTATTAGTCCGACTTGAAAAATCTTAATATTTTCGCATTTTAAAGTATATTTTATCTCATTGTCGCTAGATAGTCTGTATTCAAATTTCCACATCATTATCATTGTATAGGCATTAGGCACTGACCCATGAAAAGTTACGGTAAACGGTTGTTTCTATTCAAGCGTAATAAACTGGGCCGCGTAAGTGCTGGATGAATAATTTATCGATTTTCTGTTAAAATCTGCCCGTACAGGTATGTATTCGCCCTTCATCGTTTGACGTCATCGATAATAGTAATATGACCTAAGTACTTCATAAAATAATATTGTGGAAACATCATGGCCGTATCAAAAAACTAGGCTTAGCTAGAGTTTCGAACAGACCATGTGAGATACGGAACGTACCGGAAGCTGGCATACTCAATAAGATTAGAATCTAAATATTTTCTGCACTAGACAGATCTAAAATAACGAATCTAATAAAAATATCCTGTTACACGGAACCTTTCTTAACGTTTCTATCTCCAAATATGTGATTTATCTAGACACTAGCATTGCCCGCGGCTCCGCCCGCGTTAATATGACCAAAACCAAATTCTTAGATTTTATATATTAGTATACTCGTATTAGTATATTAGTTGACCTGGATAATCAGCTATTACCATACCAAATTTCTTCAAAATCCCTCCAGTGATTTTTCTGTGATGCGATCACAGACAAACAGACAGACAGACACACAAAAATTCTTAAACCTATAGATAAATTTTCCAAAAAATATTTAAAGCACAGATACTGCTTCAATGATTAAATTTTAATGTATCTATAGATGTAACTAATTTATAAAGCCAAAAAGATTGTTTTTTGATAATTTAAACACGGGCGGGGCCGCGGGTAATTTAGTAGTAATTCTAATAAAATCATAGAAAGGTCGAATTTGTACATTCAATTTTTTGGAATTAAAACTACGTATTTTAAAGACACATGGCGAGAGAGATATAGATATAATAAAATTGTAACTAAGTCGAGTCTTTACATTAAATATGTTTTGGAAAATCTTATTGAAATAGACATTATTATCGATATCGATATACAGAGGCCGAATCTATAGTTTTTAGAATTTTTTTCTATCTGTCTGTCTGTTACCGCATCACAGAAAAACCACTGGAGGAATTTTGATGAAATTTGGTATGGTGGTAGCTGGTTAGCCGGGTCAACATATAGGATACTTTTATGGGACTTTATACGGCAAAATATCTCATTTCTGAGAAAAAATACAAAAACTGCATTGTAAGATTATACTAATATGTAAAACCTAAGAATTAGTTTTTGGTCACCTGAACGCGTGCGGAGCCGCGGGCAATGCTAGTATAATAATAAAATCAGATTTTATATTATAAAATATTATCAGATCCTATAATAACCATGTATTACGAAAAATATACGAAAACAATAACAAAATCGATAGCGTCCGTACAACGAACTCAACGTAGCCGAAAAACGTTATTATACGTCGCCGTCCCGTCTCCTGTTGAGAAAAAGTGCGGTGACCTGTTTCGCTGTAAGGGGGTGCCCCCACAAAGCTTGGCAGACACTCCGGCGGCAGGGAATTGGGAACCAGCCAGCATCAACGCAATACGGCGCGCCAGAACAAATGTCTTTCATGCCTAAAGAAATATATATTACGTCCCTTTTGGGCATCATAGCAAAAGATAGAACTTTTAAAGCTAGTTTAATTAAACTTACATGTGAATGGAGACTTAAATGATGTAAATCGTTGAGACTTCAAAATCTTAATTTTTGCATATACTAACATTTTATATTTATTATTCATTCATTTCTATATACAAAGATACAAATATTTGATATTGAGATTGGCTCCTATAATATTTTTCATAATACATATTTTATAGTGTCAAAACGTTTATGAGAGGGTAGATCAATCTAATATCTGATTAATACAGATAAATAAAATTTAAATGTAATATCGAAATAAAAGCTTTTTACTAAATGCGTAAGACATTATATGCGGTAGGTACTTGTCAAAAACATATTTTTTTTTATATCTGTCTGTTTGTACCTGCTAATTTCCGAAACTCTCCGAAAGAGAGTGAGTGACGAAATTAAAGAACTTTGACCTGCAATAGTTCTAAAACTGCAGGTTCAAATTCAATTCAGAATGTAATTTGGAAATATACCTAGTTATATTATGTCCTCTTAGTCACTAGAAATTAAGACTGCTAACTTTATCCACAACGAGGTTACAAGGGGGTCAAAAATATCCTGAATGCCTTCGAGAAAAGGATGTTACGGCTAGGCACTTTTTGTTCGACTTAGCGGGGCCGTACCCCCAGATTTATATTGCAATACCGTTAGACACTACCTACTGATATATTAAAACAAATTATTCAATTAGAAAATTTCAACACAATTACAAATGAAAAACTTGGTACAATAAAGGATTTTAATTTCACCTCGCTCAAGTTGCGAATGGAATTTCGCAATCCGTTTAACGTCTGTTTCATTAGAAAAGTACGTAACTTTGAACTTCTCAGCGGTTAAACCTGAAATGGAACTGCGAAGCCGCAGTTCTACCTACTAACTCTTGTTAAACTCTTCATTATAATTTTAAGTATATGTTATTATGTAGGTACATATTATATCTAAGTAAATAAACATGAATCACCAAAATGTATATATGTACGCGGATAACTTCGAGTTCGGATCGACTGCACCAAATTTGTATAGAAGAAAATTAAAAAAGTTTTAATTTTTTTTGTTTTACTAAAACAAGTTTTTTTTTAAATCTCATGATATGAAAAGTGAGTGAGTGAAATAGTTTTTACCCCGGAAATCATCCCTTAAGGGGGTGAGAATGGGGCTGAAAATTTGTATGAGGAAGCAAGCCAGGGACGAAACCGAGCGAAGCAAGGGTAAGTCGCTTGCACTTACATTATAATCGTTGAAAGTATCTGCAGTGACTTATTGCGTCCGTAAATATCAGTTTACATGTATTCAACCCTTTTTCTTTCTTTCTTTTTTCTTGTTTTAGGGTGCAGTAGGTACTCAGACCGCGCTCGAATAATAATTAAAACGGGGGGAAATCTATTATTGTGTGCCCATTAAAATGTACAGTGAGGCATATTTAAAGTATTTGTAATTTAAAATCAAGTTTAGTTTTTTCAATGTGCGATATAATTTATTAAGTACATAATATACGTATATGTGTATAGAAGCCGATGCGCAGTCAGGACAAAGCCATAGTTTTTTTTGTACATGTTAATAAATTCTTAAACTTGCTGGCATGTAAGAAACTGCAATCTCATTTTAAAATTATGATTATTGAGTGTGTGATCAAATAAGAATAATAATAATAAAATTGAGACATCTTTGACTTGCAGATTGTAACGGAGATATTATGTTTATAATATTGTTATGTTCTATGAGTTCGGGGGTCGGAAATTAAAGCACGTCTTTTGCACTACGGAAGTTTGTTCTTGGTTAACAAGAGTGACTTAAAGAGATTCACCAACACGTGCAGCAGTTAGACAGTTCTGATTAAATTCATTCTCTGAACACTATTTTTCGCCACTAGTCACACTTTCACTATGATTTTACTCCACTTTCTTCACTTTTCCACTTTTTTCGTATTTCTTCTCAGTCTTCATTTAGCTCCGAAATTTAACAGACTTATGGACACACTACCGGCCATTTTGTATGTATGTATAAACAAAGAATATTGTAGTATTCGAAAATTCAATACTATACCTACTAGTAATTTCGATTCCATTCTGAAAAATATTTTTTCCTCTCTTACACATGGCAATTTACAATTAATTGTCCTTGTCTGTTAATAATTGTCATGTGTTAATAACTATCTTAGGATAACCGTCATATGGCCAATTTCCTACGTCACCTAAGTTTAAGGGATCCCCTAAGCATAGTTAGGGGGCTGTTAGGCGACAGTTTCTGCTTCACCGACAGTTAGGGGTCACCTTAATGTTAAAATGCCACCTAAATATAGGTACTAGAAATACGAGCTCTGACGATGGTAAAACGAAATTTAATTTAGGGGCTAGTTTAGGGGACTTTTAAGCTAGGGATCCCATACGTAGGTGATAGCTTATGGGTTGTTGGTGAAATCGGGCATTAGAATGTTTAAAGCATGCTTCAAACGTGCCTTTTTAATTATTATTTAAATGCAATGACATTCCACAATCTCCACTAC